TTAGATAAAAAGTGTAATTAAATAAAATAATTAATACGGTCAATTGTGACTACTAAATACATATACAGATTCCAATTTATGTTGAAGGCTTCTAGCATAACAATTTTTCGTTGTTTAATAATAGGGATTCGATAACGCTGTCCATAGAACTTGCTTTTGGAGGCCTATAAACTACACATTAATAATAAAATTAGCTGTCCTAGCAGTAACTTCGCAGACATTAAATTCGGGCTTTTTTACTAATTGCTTGGCGACTTTTTTTACACAAATTTTTTGGCCACTTTTTTTTACATAAATTGCTACTCCTCCACCTTTTTTTATTAAGTCTGTCATTACGAAAAATTTAGTATCCATTTAAGGAAAATATTCCCGAGCTAGGACATGGTTTTAGAAAAGTCTCTGATAAGGTGATAATATCGTAATTTTTATGTTCTGAACTACAACTCAATTCCTCCCGATGTACTAATAAATTTTCAACATTAATGTGTGCAATTTTTAAATGATCTCCCTTCTAATTAAAAAAATAAAATATAACTTAGTCTCTCTCTCTCGCTCACTCTCTCTCTCTCTCTCTCTCTCTCTCTCTCTCTCTCTCTCTCTCTCTCTCTCCCCCTCTCTCTTCTCTACGCTGTTACAACACAAACACAATAACAAATACGACGCAACAAACACTGACCGCAAATACATCGGTTAAGAAACGAACAAACTGAATCTTTAACAAATTAGGCATTAAAACAGTGCTCAAAACCAAGAAATCGATTGGAAAACTACAAAGACAAACCGACTTGACAAAACATATACAGACATATACTCATAATAGATACAAATACATCGACAGAAATATGACAGAAAATTAAATATAGGTACAAAGAACACATAAGATCCAGGAACAATGAAGGAAAATCAAACTAGGGGAATCACCTTACAGAAACCATCAATACAGACAAGCATGAAACTACTACACGGCGTACAAAAAAGACGAAAAATGAGCATACTCGAAAAATTAGAAATGTCAAACACAACACGTTTAACACGAAAAGAAAGCACTGTACCAATTAAATAATAAAAAGTCCAGACTTATGATTACTTTTATTAAATTTGTTTAACAAATACTAAAAGAATTTTGTCTAAGTCGGGCAGAAAATATTACAAGTTCTTCGACATAGATGATTATTTTTAACAAATAGGTTGCGTTTCGACATGATGATTTTTCAATCATTTATTTTTACAATTTAGGTCGATTTCGGCCCGCTAATTAAATAAGAAAGGCCACCGTTGTCGGAACGCCAAGTTTCATCTCCTAAAATTGGAAGTTCAAGATCGAGTTAAAAATACAAAGAGCACGCAGTTTCACGAAATGGAGGGAAAATAAAGTTTTATGTGTTTTCATCTATTCAGACTTCCTGGATTATGTTAATATAATAAAGTGTCTAAACTTGGACGTTTAAAGGTCAATCTTCGTTGTTAAACTGTTTAAACCTTTCCACCCGAATTTACTGATTTAGGACCCTTAAATGAAACAGTTGCGTTAGAATTTCCATCATTGCTGATCGATTGTACTGTCTGGTGTGTGGGGGCCAGAGATAAGTTTCGACTCGACGCCAACAAAATTAACACGAGTCTATTCTAAACCATCTTCCCGCTCGTCAATATGACCTCGGTCGACTTAAACAACCGTGCAAAAACGTCAAATTTTCAAAACGTAAAACCGTTGTCAAACCGATTTCTCGAATTGGAACGTTAAACACTTGACCTTGACATATATCGTTTTAAATTTAATATTAATTACTGTATTATAAACCAACTTTAATTGGATAATAGTTACTTCTACATATTTCCTTTACCATTCTCGTACAGCACCCAAGATCCGTTGCCTGGGCTCCACACGCTCCGAGGCCTCGCCATCTCAAGTTGCCTGCATAGCCTTGTCAGCAAAGATCCGAGGTCTATCTACCCTCTGAGTTCTCGCCATCCCAGGTTGCGGATTGTTTTTTGCATACATACCCTCGTCAACAAGAACCCGGGGTCTACACTCTCTGAGGTCTCGCCATCCTAGGTCCGCGATCCATGTCCGCTTCTGTGCGCATCAGGATATAACCACTGACCTAAACTAGAGACGTCCAGTCAGAAACAGTGAAAGTTAGAGTCGGTGGGTCATAGAGTTGATGGTTCTGAGCTCATCAAAGCAGTCCTTCGTTCAGGGTAGTTATTAGTTATTTATTCAGGTAGGTACCTGAGTTCGGAGGTTAAGTCCCGTCGAGTAGTTCATCATCAGAAGAATGGCCTCCGGCAATCCACCGCCTACAAGATTTATGAACCAACGCGACATTGTTCCTTCATCGCATGACATCTATGCTACCATATCATTGCGCTGAGGGAAAAAACAAGATGTGGCCTTGGCTTCATACAGCGACAGGCCGGTTCAACAGGGGAAATACTACACGACTAAACCTAACGAACGATATCAAACGTAGGTAACGACCCTGAGAAAGAAAAAACTAGGCCCAGTTGTCATGCCGGGTATGAGTAAGAGAAGCAAACCAGTCAAGTCCAAAACCAGTAGAAATAAAATTTCCACAGGTGGCAGAATCGTTGAGCCAGAAGCACAAATGTCAGAATCACTTATAATTTCTTCAAAATAAAATAGCGAATGTCATCCTTGTGGATTAAGACTTTTGACTTTCCCAGGTCCCTGAGTGCAATAATGAAGCAAATCTTCTCTATTTGGCCACCAAATAAGAAAAACTGAACAAAGATTGAGCGAGGTGCATGAAAATTGTCACAGTGCTCGGGAATTCCGGTCGTTTTGTCCCATTAGTCTGGCTATTGTTAAATATTTGTTATATGTGTTTTATTTATTAGGTAAAAACAAAAATACATAAGCACATTTAAGAGAGAAAAACAATTGGGGCCTTATTTGGCTTGCTATTAAAATCTTTCTCTTATTAAGTCCCTCCCCTTCGTAAATCCTCAGCAGTCAGGTAGGAAAAAGGGAAGCTTAGCCATAAACCATAAATTGTGCCCCTTGAAATAAGTTGAGAGTATGGCGGGTCGGCTGCTGTAGGGTCTCCCTTAGGAACGGCTGGGAAGGGACTATATACATGACTGAAATATAACCTACGTAGATTTTTTTTACAATTTATTTTCCCCTTGTTTCAACAAGGAGCGACCGACTTCCACTCAGGTCGGATACTTACGACTATACCTAGACAGACCGATATGGGCTTGGCATCAAGCTCAAAATCAAGTCAAAACAGGTTCTGGCATCATTGAATTCATACCCAGTTTTTACACCAATTCCTTGCTACCTAATCATAAGAAAGTCATTGTTTCTAAGTAAAATGTGGCAGTGAGTTCTGAGAGACAAGACCGATCCAAGCAGGCGTCCCACAAGGGATCATTCTTAGTCCCGTACTATTATTTATACTGTGTGGTGTTTAGTGACCGTTACTTGATGATTATTTGGAGGTCGTGAGATGCGGTCTGGTGTGACGTAGGGTTTCTTCTTTCCACGTCTCTAACCTCACTGTTCACACATCTGTGTATCTGTCACACGACTGACAAGAATGACAAATCTTCACGGAAAACAAACACTTTGAGCTTTGAAGATGATCTCAATAAAGATCGAAACGTTGGCACGATAAAGAAAATGGGTTTCTAAAACCTACGTCGCACCAGACCGCATCTCACGACCTCCAAATAATTATTTATACTGCCGACCTGCTAGATCCCATCACCACCTTTACAACCAATGCGAACGATACAGCAATTTTATTTCCTAACTCAAATGCTACTTAAACCACTCCCAGTATCCACTTACACCTTGAGTTTATCAGCGACTAATATAAAAAAAGTTTTCCCTCTACTGGACAACAACAAGGAGCTACCGACATCCACTCAGGTCAGATACTGAGGACTACACCTAGACCAGACTTGAGACACCAACGTAATAGAAGAATATGACAACTACGAAGACTTTTAGGAATGAAATCTGTATTGACCGTCAAAACTCGACTAAATCTATACAAGACTTTTTTTATTGTTTTGTTTTACCCGTAAAAAACAAAAATAAAAAATAAAATAAGAGACATTACTGCAACCACTTTGGACTTACAGTAGTACTGTGGGGTTGGACCAGCCATCCAATATGACCAATGGACCAATCCTTCCACTTAAAAGCACTCGGACAAATTGCCAAATCTTCTTGTTACGTCTCTAACCTCACTGTTCACACCAATTTTCATTTTAACCCCAAACCCTCTCTATACGTTTTCCCACGCGAGAACTTTAAAAGAGACCTCCTCGCCCCTTTGGTTTTAGCTGGTTTCTCATGTGTCCTCCGGGTGGAGTCCTGGCCATAGTATTATGGTGGGGACAAAACCATAAACTCACATATTTATGCTATATATTTACATGTACAAGCTACAATTACGCAAGGAGGCCTAACTCTTAATTTATAGGTATTTTTTTAGGTGAATTCCTTTTACCCCCTTATCTGATTAGGTCTAACGATATCGCTTAAAATATGGACAGAAAAGTCGTAAAAACACCTTAAACGAGAGTGCATAAAAACAAACGTGTATTATAATTGTTCTCCGTTCAACCGAAATCACCCTGGCTACTATATCGTGAATATGAGGAGACCACAATTTTTGACTTTGAAGTGTTAATAAAATGGCTATGGATTTGACGTTCGATTGTTTTCGAATAAACCGATCCTAAGATCTAAAGAGTTTAATAGTTAAACGCCCGACTAGAAAGAATCGAAGCGGAAGCAATTTTTTACTGAGTGACCATGGTGTTTGGACAAGCCTGCTATTGATTCACACGTACTAAATTTGGAAATGCGTTCGATATTCGATTGATTATTTGGCGAAAATAACATACAAAAAGATTGTAATTTAGTGATGATTCGATAAAAAATGGTGATATTTCTTTTTTTTTATTTGTTTGGATGTTCTTTCAGAAAAACTAAATAGTGAACTGTATGTCTGTTTCAGCACAATCAAGTGGATTATCACCGTCCTCGACAGAGGAGTCAAACAGCAAAGGCCCCGGCTTAGAAGCAACTTCAAACGATGATCGTAAGACCTCGATTTCCAACGCAGAAGAGAAACCTGCAGAAGAGCCTGAAAGTAACGACACTTCGTACGGGGTCGAGGCGACGGCAGTAAGGACTCTCGCCGCTTCGACGGGAACGGTCGCCATTCTGGGAACGACAGCACACTCCCAGTCGCAGAAAGATTTGAGGAAAGTAGACGAGAGTCCCGAAAAACCGTCTCTACCGCCGGAAGCCGCCCTTGAAAATAAGACTGACGATAAGACTGCAGGCCCCGATACAGGTGGAATGAAGGTCGAGACAAAGGAAAAAGCCGAAGATGTAGATAAGACTCGAGAGACAGCGACCGAAAAAATCGATGCCCCGAGTCCCGAGGGACTTAAAGTCGAGTCTACCTCGTTGAGCGCTCCTAGGGAAGAAGTCACAGTCAAGGAAGGAGAGAATTCCGTTCCAGAAAAAGCCTTAGATGTCGAAAAACCCGATGAGGTGACATCGACTGAAGAAAAACAGAAGGTGTCAGAAGAGAAACAGCCCTCGTCGAACGAGCCCGCCGAACAATCTGTACCGGTCGAGAAAAAGGAAGAACACAATCTACCCCTTTCGACAGAAAACGCCGTCGACGTTGAAACCGAAAGACAATCAGATGACACAAAAGCGGAAACGCCCTCCGTCGGAACCGAGTCGGTTCTGTCCGCTATCGAAAAGAAAGAACCAACGCCTAGCGAAAATTTGGGAGATTCTTCAGTACAATTAACTAGTCAGACGGAGAAATCAGAAAAGAACGAAGAGAAAAAAGAGGAACTGATCGAAAATCCTGTCAATGATGAAAAACAATTAGGAGTGAAGCTAGTCGAAGAAGTTCCCGATACTCCAGTCGATAAAGAAGAAAAGTCTACCGAGCACAAAGATGAGAATCATTCTCCCGGACAAGAAGAGAACACAGAATCTCTGAGTACGGAAAATGATGTCAGCTTTCCAAGCCCTGATGCGAATACAAGAACGAATGAAGAAGAGGACAACGATATATCCAGCGAACAGCTCAAAACCAACAGTCTGTCTGATATGTCAATGTCAGAAACGGCTCAGTTAGAATTGGAAGACAAATCGGAAACTCGAGGACCGAGTCTAACCCTAGATGTTGAAAATGTAGGCTTAGAAGAAGCAAAACAATTAGTCTCACCGATGATAGAAGTCAACTCGCCTTCTGAAAATTCGGGTAAAAACAATTCGGACCAAGATAAAACGCCCGACCTATTGCCCGATTCCAAGACGGACACAACATCTTTAGAGGACAAATCTCAAAATTCCAACTTGAGCGGGGACTCCCCCGACCTGAACGCCGCTGCCACTACCATCCAGTCCAACATCAGAGGCTTTCTAACCAGGAGGCATCTGAAAAAGTCGCAAAATTCCAGTACTGAAGATGTTAGTAAAAAGTTGACTGATAGTATGATAGATAAAATAAAAGATGAAGTCGATGAAATATGCAAAGAAGCTGAGAAAACGACCGAGTCCCTCATCAGCAGTCCAGACATCGACAAAGGCGCTATAGCACCCAACGAAGAATTCCCAGCTCCTCCGGATGACATGCTCACTGATAAATTAGAAGAGACTTTGGAAGAAGATACGACCTCGCTCAATTCACAACCGACAGTGCCTTCCTCAGCGTCTCAAAAAGAAACTAAAGAGAGGGAACAAAAGGGTGAAAAACCGACTTCTGCTAAACAGCAACATGTAAGTACTAACTTTATTATTCAAAAAACCTCTTGAAATTAAAAGTCTTCCCTAATATTTTCTTTTCAAACATTAGCACCTTTACCTTTAAATTCTATGGAAGTTTGTCTCTTCCGAGTAAATAGATTATCAAGTTTGATTGAGCGGCTGGGAGTTGATGAACGCTGAGTTATTGATCATCCCCGAGTCAGCCTATTCTCACAGTTTCTTCCTGGTCAGACGCCTTTCGTTGTCACCCCATTTTCATTGATGGTCGGTTTTGCTCGGCTTCAGTAGAACAATCGAACAAGCGGAAACAAAAGAAAACATCAGAAAGATCAAAACAAGTCGACATTAGCTAGGAACGTAATGATGTAGCATAAAGACGTGTCAGTTGTAGCCAAATATGCCAAAAACTCTTAACTTAGTTGATAAATTCTATAACTATTGGGTTGTCCGGAAAATAATGCAGGATTTTAAGTTTTCATTAAAAAAAATCTATATAAAATATTCTGTTTACGTTTACAGGATTACTCATTTGTATGAATGTCAACACTTATTAATCCTCTTCCAAATGATATTGTTTGTTTACCTCTGTAGCATTCCGCTACTTGGAAATAATTCAGTCATCCTTATAATGTCAAAGCGAGAATTTCGTACGATTTTCTTTTACGAGTTTAAACTCGGCCGAAGCGGAGCCCAAACGGCTAGAAACATTAACCAAGTCTGGGGCGAGGGTTGTGTTAATGAGTGCACTGTGCAAAGGTGGTTTAAAAAATTTCGGGAGGGAGATTTCAGCCTTGAAGATGAAGAAGGTCGTGGAAGGCCTTCCTCTCTTAATGATGATGTTCTGCGATCAGTGGTGGGTGCAGAGCAACTCAAAGTCAGTAAAACGACCGTCGCTGACCACCTCAAGGCGATTGGAAAAGTGAAAAAACTCGAAAATTGGGTTCCACACTCATTAAACGATCGCCAAAAAAATCAGCGCTTTGATGTTTGTGCATCACTTCTTTGTCGAAACAAAAATGACCCATTTCTGGCCAGAATTGTTACATGTGACGAAAAGTGGATTCTCTACGATAACACTAGACGTTCTGGACAGTGGCTCGACAAAGGAGAAGCTCCAATACATTTTCCAAAGCCCCCAACTCATCAAAAAAAGGTAATGGTTACGGTATGGTGGGCTTCATTTGGTTTAATACACTACAGCTTCTTAAATCCTGGCGAAACCATCAATGCTGAATCATACTGTAACCAAATTAATACCATGCATCAGAAATTGGCAGTAATGAAGCCCTCTTTGGTCAATCGGAAAGGGCCCATTTTGTTGCATGACAACGCTCGACCACATGTGTCACGTGTAACGTCACAAAAATTATTGGAGCTTGGCTATGAAACTTTGCCTCACCCACCCTACTCTCCGGACCTCTCGCCTACTGACTACCATTTTTTTAGACACCTGGACCACTACTTAGAACACATAATATTCAAAAATCAAACGGAACTGGAAAATGCATTTATTGACTTTATCAATTCTAAAAATTCTGAATTCTACTCAGACGGAATTAATAAGTTACCAACACGTTGGGAGAAATGTATTGAGAGTATGGGAAATTATTTTGATTAAAGAACATTGCTTTAAAGTAACTAGTTTCTTTTTTTTTGTTTAATACCAAAATCCTGCATTATTTTCCGGACAACCCAATAGTTAACAATCACTATCGGTCCATTGTGTTTATGCTGAAAAACCCTCCTATATCGATTCGCCGACGTATCCCTATAAAATAATATGAAATTTAACCAGAGAAACCCGACAATATGCATATGTATGTAAACGCCGGCATAGTGGCATAGTATTTGACCGCGGTTTTATCTGGTCCGCCTATTCTCGCCGGATCACTTGGTCACAAAGGACAACGACCAGTGTTAATCCTGCCGAGCGTTTTGTTTGGTTATCGCATTAATCTACGAGAAGGGGCGAAATCGAGAGGGAAAAGGCTTAAATCAAATTAATATCGCGAGGATTAGCGGACCAGGTGGAGTTCAAATTGTAAATCAATTCGCGTACCAATGAAAAAAAAGAAAAAAAATCCTACGTCTTTACCCTTACTTGATCACCAAAAAGGTGAAAACACAATTGGTTTGATATAGACTTAAAACAGAGACAACTCACGGCCCCCGTCGAGACCGGAAATAGGTTTAAATAAAGTGTAAAATCCCTCAAAGATCTCATTAACTAGAAACAGTTTTATAAAGAAGTTACTGGCAAACAAATAAATTAGATCTAGAAAAAAATTAGACCTACTCGAAGTAACGAAAAAGAAAAACAAAACATTTTCACAAATAAAATCCTTCACAGAACGGATAGGCAAGACATAATCAAGTCGAATCACAGCCCGTCCAGAAATATTTAACAACAGATATATCCTTTCCAAAGGTGTCTGTTTTCCCTTTTCCTTACTCAATCTTATGTAGCCTTTTCTTGAAGAATGCATGTGTAAATTCTTCCAGCGTAACCCTGTCCATCACTCTCTATCTCAACCTATCATCATAAAAATCACTCCTTCCTCTCTGTATTTTAACCACCTTGCTCTCACCCTCTTTCTATCTCGTGTTTATGAACTTCATCTTTTTGTTTAAAATTCTTTTTTCAAAATGTCTTATTAAACAATGACTCAAGAGTCCATTTTATCCCCAAAACGAGGGATAAATTTCATAAAGGATCAACAAAAAGAAACTATTAATAAAAAATGCTTGATGTTAGAATTTCCTAGTGTTCTTAAAGGATAGAGTATTTAAGTTTGAAAATATCACTATAACTTTCGTTTCTTCTCGTCTGCACAGTGATAAACCTGGAATTGGTTGTTACCGATCATCCTGGTGTTGGACTGTCAGACAAGTTGTAGCATTTCACCATCTTCAGTATGTCTGTTTGATTTTTAAATTGGGTCTTTTTTTAGGGTCATGAGGGGGGCATTGTTAGTGTTAGTGTTATCTTTGTTCATCAATACTTTCAGTGGATTAAGTCTAATTCTGAATTAACCACTCAGCCATCAATTCCCCATATTATACCAATAAAGTATGTAGCAAGTACTATGTACAGTATTATGTAGGAAGTAAAGTATTATGGTTAGGTTAGGTTAAGGCCATATATCTATGATTCCATATTTTGCCATGATTAAGAGAATTTTTTAATGATTTCTTTCTCTTAATAATAAATAATTAATGTTAAGACTAATTTGTCTATATTATCCAGTTAAATTTATCCAGTTAATATGTTAACATAACATCAATTCATGCTAGAAAGTATCTCACAAGTAACAAATTTTATGCCAAGAGAAGAATTTTACCCAGAATCTGGCTCATCAGAAAAAAAAATATCTAGCTGCTCGATTTCTTAAGAACTTGTGCTTTGCACTCGCATATTTTCTCCACATCCTAAAAAGCATTGAATCATAGATATACTTAGCCCTAGCCTATCCCTACCCTCTAACCCTAACCTAACCTAGCATTACTTAACATAACCCAACACAGTGCGTACTACCCATGCATAGCTTTACCTTATAAATCATAATTATATCTTCGCCCTGAGGAAGGCCAAATATAAGCCAAAAGCCTGGCAACAGATAAATAAAGTAACTTCTATTGTACAGGAGGGCTTAATGGCCAACTAGGTGTTGCAGACGAGTATGGCATATTTTTTCCCAAACTTTATGACAGAACAATGGTAATAAGACTAATTTTCAACACTGTTGTGGCTGGGTAAATAAGTCCTTGTGAAAAGATTTTATTACTGTCCCATTTTAGGTGGTCAGTTTTTTATAAAGGCTTACAATTTTTGTCTGCTTGATCAGCTCCTTCAACTTCATTACTTTTTTGCTAAATTCAGAACTATTTTCGGTTATTTAATAATTGAAAACTTTTTGCTTTTAGGCTCTAGATGTTGCACCTCCACCACCAGCAGATTTAGATGACAATAGTGCCGCCGACAGTGAACAGTTGCCCAACGATGAAGATCTTCCAGCGCCAGACTTTGAAATGTTTGAATCTTCTTACACAGATGATGTTAACACGGAGATAATAAATTCTGATAAAGTTGGTAACGTCGAAGATCTAAAAGATTCGACTGAAGGCGATCTCACGATCGACGAAGACTCCGACAAATTGTTGAAGGAGTTGCAAAAGCCCCAAGAATGTGATGAACTTGTTAATGTTGCTGCTGAAATCATTGACCAAACAAAAAAAGAAATCGATGATGCCGCAACAAAAATCCAAGCTGGAGTCAGAGGATATTTAACAAGGAAACAACAGGTGAATATTAAAATTTAAAAGTGTAATAACATTTTTTATGTAAATGCATGTTACAAGTGTTTGTTTAATGTAGTTAGAAAAAGCTGTAGATTTATTCACAAAAATGCCATTCACTCCAGCCTTAGATTTTTTTAATGTTTGTATAATTCATGAATTTTTCTTCATTTAGGAGATGCTCAAAAAAGGAGATATCTTGTCACATTAAATTAATAACAAATAAAAAATTTTTAAATAAATTTACAAAGCTTCCAAAAGTTTTATTAACACGTAACAAATATATGTTATAACATAAAAACAAAAATTATTCACGATTAATGTTTTATTAACAACTGGGCAACAAATTACTAAAAATCACTATTGTTGGATTTTAATCATTTTATCTTCTGTTTATTGTTAATTTTGTATTAAAGAAAACATATTAATTTAAAAAATTATAATAACAATGTTAAATTAAGTGAAGAACTGTTAAAGATGTTTTCTATGTCTAAAAAAGAAAACTAGTTGTTCGTTGCATATAAGTCAATAATAATGAATGTGTTTCATTAATAATGAGTCGAATCGACCCGTGATTAATGAACCATCTTTATTGATTTTTAATTATTTTACCTCATGTTTATGTTAAAATTAGTATAAACTTAAACAAAATTTTTATATCAAGGATGTATAATTAAGAAAGATGTTAAAAATTGTTTTCAAAATATAAAAATGTTTTTAAAAAAAGAAACAAAAAGTAGTTATTCATTTAGGGACACAGTGTACATATTACATGCATGTGTGTGTGAGAGAGTGTGTGTCACAAAAACAAACATTCCAAAGGCAACAGGAAAATCAATCAAACCCACACCCCCAGAAATATATTATTCAAAAACAACAAACTATATTATCAAGCATCAAGCTGTTATAGGCTATAAATACTTTTAATTTCAGAACGTTAAGAATAAACGATCAAAACAGTCGATAGAAGAAGCAGACAGAGCTTCAATAGTTCAGACTCCATCAGATCATCAAGAAGAAGCCAGCGCTCCAGAAGACAGCTTAAAGGCATTAGAAAAAGACATAAATGATGCAGCAACTAAAATTCAAGCAAACTTCCGAGGCTATATGGTCCGTAAAGAAGGAAAAAACAAGACCACTGATAAGGAAGTGAAAGACCTCCCTGAAAATCTTTCACCTGATGAAACACAAACCAAAGAAGAGAGCGTTCAACCCTCTGGACATCCTGAACAGACTGGATCTGACTTAGACCCAGCGCAAAATGTAGAAAAGGGTAAGGCTCTAGTATTTTGTAAGTGAGATTTTTTGATTAGTGTTGAACGAATGACTTTTTTACTCACACACATACTACAACATAGTATGTGCAAAAATCCTTAGAAAAATTATCTAGGGTCTGGTTAAATTCACTTAATAAAGTGATCTCTTTTAAAAACTGCTTGGGCAGTGGTGGCAACTAGATTTAGCTCGATGCTTTGATTTTGGTACAGATTTACAGTATAATTATGTTTTTCAAAATTGTGTTAAAATTGATGGTGGATGTTGGTTTCCAAGTGAGTGAACGTACGTTGAACTGACACTGAGTATGTTTAAAACTCACAGTTTTCAATATCACTCAGACATCAGTGCCAGTTTAACATTTCTAGTGTTGCAGAATATATGAATTCTGTTCCTACACACAAAATTTATATCTAAAACTGATTTTTTTTTAAAAATATATTTCTTTATTTAACATTATATACATTCTTTGATACAGAAAACTGTAAAAAATAAGAACATTACTTAAATAATATCATCAGTGCTGTACAAATTTAATGAACATTTGTCTATGTTAAAATAGTTTATATAGTCTTAACGGTGATGATATCACCAAAAGATGATCACTTTTACCTTAAATAACCTTTTATCTTCTTTTTTTTCTTAATCCATCATAAGGTTGATATCTATTAAACAATTACTGTTGTATAATCATCATTTTGAAAATTTTACAATGTTTAAAAAAACTAATGCCTCATTGTGTGATGTATATGATACACCTGGCCTTTAAGTAACGTCAATATTTTAAAGTATCTTAACGTCCAACTATCCATAGTGAGTTGGGGACAAAAGATCAAACACCTTTACAATGCTTTTTCTCAAATTATTCTTGATGAAAATTTCATGGGCTAGCCAGGAGAAATTAAACTCAGAACCGCTTGCATAGCAAATATGAGTGGGATGCCCTAACCACTCATCTACCGTGTCCCCACAGTTTATCAATAAAGTATATTATTTAGGTATTAAAGTGTTATAGTAGGGCTATGGTTAGGTTAGTTTGCATATCCATGATTCAATGTTTTTCCATGAAGTGAAGAATTCTTTAACCATTTCTTTCTATCAATAATAAATAATTACTATTAAGTATAATTTGTGTATTTAATCTGGTTAATTTACTTACAACCAACAAATTCTATGCTAAGTGAAGAATTTAAGATAGAAACTGACACACCAGAAGTATTAAAAAGATCTGGATGGTCGACTCCATAAGAACTCTGGCTATGCACTTGCATATTTTCTTCGCTTCCTTACAAAAAAACAAAAAAAAAACATTGAATCTTAAATATGTAACCTAACCCTAACCTCGCTGTCCACCCACCTAACCCTAAACTAACCTAATGCAACCCAACTCATTTATAAATCAGGTCAAATATAAGCCAAAAGCAATTGATAAATAAAGTAGAGTAAGTCCTGTCCTACAGGACAAGAAGTCAAACCACTTTACAATACTTTTTTCTGAGTCATTCACAATTAAAATACCTTAAGCTGGGCTCAGAATTTAATCCAGAACCACTGGCGTGGCAAATACAAGTCAGGTGCCCTAACCACTCGACCCCAGCCTTCCCTGTTATTTAACAATGATGTGTTTACGCTGTAAAATACTTATCCAGTGTATTTTTTCTTCATGAGAGATAGTCTTCAGAATATAATAACCATGCCATAGTTGTAACTTTTTTTTAATACGTGTAGTATTGACATAAAAAAAATATATATTTTCATTGGTGATATTTCAAAATATCCCACTTGAAAAAAATTTCCAAATTACACAGTAGAAAATTATTTTAGATTAAAAAAAAACTTTTAATTTCAATTAAAATCGATATGTCGATTTGTGCACTGGTTTATTGTGTGAATAATTTTGAGCAATGTAGCAAGTTCTCCTTTTGCAGAAGGAGAATTACAAGAAGTCAACAGCAAAAACGCTTCCAAAGATCTGTCATTAAAAAAAGAAGACATTCCTTCTGAGGATTTAATTAATGATTCAGCGATTAAAATCCAAGCTGAAGTCAGAGGTTACTTAACAAGAAAAAAGCTACAAACCGAGAAGGAAGCTGCTGCCAAAATCCAAGCCGGTTTCAAAGGTTACAAAGTGAGGCAACAAATCAAAGAACAAAAATAAATACTGTAATTTACCACTCAAATAATAAAAATTGAAACAAATAAAAACAAAAAATTATAATAAATATTTTTATATCAGCGTTACAAATGTGAAATCTCATTTAAATAAGTAATATTTTTGTTTTTTGTTATTTTGAATTAATGTTGTAAATAAATTAATAATTTGTATAAATTGGGTATAATTACAATTTTTTTTATTTATACACAAATTTCAGTTATGTGTTTCAAAAAAGTAATACATTAAAAAAGGCAAAATTTCATTTTTTTTCTAGTTTAAAAGTAATTTTTATTTGTTTAACTGCATCATGGAAGTTGTTCCAAGTTAAATATTTAGTAATCTAAACAATTTATGATATTGGTGTGAATTGTTAATTCCGATTCTATTTGTCAATATTTGTATAAATTTTATAAAATATAAATAGGTGCATTAATAAATGTACTAAGATATATTCTAAAAGATAAAAATAAGAGTACACTTTTAATAGATTATACAATCAATATATATTTAAAAAATAAAGCAAAACACCATCAATAGGTAAAAAATTTATATTTTGAGTTTAGAATATAATTTCGTAAAATGTGTAGTCAAACGAGTTCAAGTTTGTGCGTTTATTATGAAACATTAATGTTTAGATACATATTGGGGAAAAAATTGAAACAAAAGAATAATAAATTGGACCATTAGAAATTTTTTAAACATGTTATATTTGAAATATTGAGAGTATATGACTGCATGCATATTTATGGTTTCTATTGTGCGTGTAAAGAATGGAAATACATTAACCCTATTTTATATTTTCTTTGTGATTGAGTGGTGAAACAAGAGCAATAAGCGATTTGATGTTGGGCTACTTTTTTGTAAATAAGCCGAAATCAATTAAAAAAACCTACCTATATCGTAAACATTTAACACGGCTATAAAAAGTTTATTTGTAAATATTTACTTTTGTGTCTTTAAAATGAAAAACATTAACGATTTTGAATCTGTTCTGTACAAATCGGTAGAAATATTTTTTATAGTCGTCTTGATCAAATTTAGTCTTTCACGCCCTTTTCACTATTAACCAAGTAGCTCCTTCATTCTATAAACTGGCTTAATCGAAACTAGATATATATATGTAAGTATGTAGACAAAAATATATTTATTACATATCCAAAATGTAATCGAATGGTTAATTAAACTGTAATTTTTAAGGTGGAAAATTAAGTGACAAACATTCCCAATTTGTAATTATAATTTTTATTCAAACAAATTAAACAATGAGAAACTATTGTAATTTGAAACTAATAAGACAGATGAATAATACAAAAACCCTTTGTATTTAATCTCTAACTTTAACAGGAAACAAAATAATAAATAATGTATTTCCAAAAACATATCAAACAAATTAAAATGTAAACAAACCATTTAAAATTAATTAATGCCTTCTTTGTTGATAAATAAACTTTCTTTTCTTTTAAAATGTTTTGAGTTATGTTGAGTTGTTGAAGATTGTAAAATTTAGAAAAGTGTAGTAGAAAATATATAGTATGAAAATAACGACAATTATACAAGTATATATTTTTTGTACCAATATTGGTTGAAACAAACAAAACAGGGTGTGTTAGAACTGTCAGGTACCTCCATACCTACAACAATCAGCAGTTCGTAGCAATCCAACCTGTACTAATCGAGTTCATGTATTGTTATATATTTTGTAGCTGTACTATTTGTATGTTTCCACGATTTTATGTAATAAAGTTTATTACATTTATCTTTCCTTTCAGATTGAACCGTTTTTTCTAAAGTCTCTGTTATTTTTTTAAGAAAAATAAATACAGTAGAGTCTCGCTAGTCTGAACTGGAACCGGGCATAAATTCAAATTTGCTGAATAATTGCAATAATGAAGAAACTGAAACAATCAGTAAAACGAGTCTGGTAGAAAAATAGGCTGGAAAAGAGAACAAAGTGTTTCTAATCATTTTGATCTGTCTATACTTGCAGTTTTGGTGTATTGTAGGTGTTACGTTGTTTGTTCACAACAATAATTTTGGTTAAATCTGATGGATTAAAAGAATGACAGGCAGACCAAAATGCTTGGAAAGGACCAAACTCCAGTTCCACCAATGCTGACCTGACAATTTTAGGATGAAACTACGCCAAAAAATTGTCAGGTTTTGAACTGTGCAAAGCCGAAACTAGTTTAAATTATTAATCTCATTTAAATTTAACTGCCATTCAATTTTAGAATCGGTATTTGGATTAGCGGGACTCTACTATAAACCTGTGAACCCTCTTCCCCAAGAGATTTTCATGATACTGTAAACTATGTAAATTATCGAGCGTTGTTTTGTAAAACAGACCAAATCTGTTGTAACATAGTAAGGAAAATGGTTATAAAATTAGGGAACACAAATTATGATGGACAATGAATCAGGGTTGTAGTCAATCCACTAAGATACCAAACTTTCATCCTATACTTGGCCTACCTATATCAAATATGATATAATTCCAACAGAGACAACCATTAGTCAATGAATAAAGAGTGGTATATACATCTGATTTCGATGAAAAGACAATTACAAAATTGTCTATGTCTTTTTTTTATTTATAACAACATATATGGCTGAAAGCTTGGTAATAGCTAAAGTAAACTAATTCTTACTCCAGTTCATGGGTATGGTTAGGGGGTAGAGATGGGTTAGGTTAGGTCAGGTAAAATTGTGGTTAGGGTTAGAATTCTGTAAAACAAAACAGAGAATGAATATATATACATACATATATATATATTCAATAATAAATAATTACAATAATTAATTAAGGTTTTTAGATGAGATGAAAAAAGTTAATGGCACGAGAGGGATTTGAACCCACGACCTTCGGCTAGATACGCCGCTGCTCTACCACCTGAGCTATCGTGACCTCGATCCACTCGGACATCAACTTCCTATCTCAACCCCACCTTATGAATTTTCCCTCCTAAGGTGGGGTTGAGATAGGAATTTGATGTCCGAGTGGATCGAGGTTACAATAGCTCAGGTGGTAGAGCAGCGGCGTATCTAGCCGAAGGTCGTGGGTTCGAATCCCTCTCGTGCCATTAACTTTTTTTCATCTCATCTAAAAACCTTAATTAATTGTAATGATTTAATTGGTCAAGCGGACCACGAAATTAGTGAATTTAAATAATTACAATAATTGACAACATTGGATTATGGATATGTAACCATAATTCTACCTGACCTTACTTCACCAACTCCCTAACCCTAACCTAACTTAACCAATGCACACTACCAATGAAGTGTTGTAGGCCTTTACAATACATTTTTTTCCCCCAATTAATCACCAATAAAATTATAAGGGCTTGCTGGGATTTGAACCCAAAGCCGGTAGCATGGCATATATGAATTGGACACCCTACACCTACCAGGAGGACATCACGGTACCTGCTAATTGATAAATATTACCAGACTTACCACTACCGCGATTTACTGTCAATCTCTAACAAATTATTGTCCCGGGGCACAAAGTCATAATGAAACATTAGGGAAATTACCATTGTTTAGTTACCAGGGCATATAGAGGGGTAGAGGGGCAATGAGGATGCTGATAAATTGGCCAAGAAAAAGTTCAATCAGGACGCCTACAGCCCTGAACCCTTTTGTAGCATGCCAAATTGCAAAAAGATCCATCAGACAATGTTTAAGAATAAGGTTGGTTCAATGGGATTGCATTTCATATTAGAAATATGCTATAAAGTTAAATAAAAGGACCATCACAGAAAGTATTAAACCTAGGATATGTTTGGGCTAGAATATGGCTATAATAATGTGTTAAGGAGCTGCAGAAACAGGCCTGTGTAGATACTGTCAGGAAGAAAAAGAAACAGTGGAATATGTCTTATGTTGATATTAAAGTGGCCTATGCAGTTTGTACTGTTAGAGAAAAAGCCAAGTCCTGAACATACTGAGCTTCTTTATTAAAGTTTTGTGATCCGGTAAAAAGCCTTAAGCTTAATGAAATCAATATTGGTTACAGTGCTCAAGGTCGTAAAGAGGCTGGCTCCTTTTAACCTCAATCTTAATAGTTTAGTATTGCAAAATCAAAGTAATAGAATTTTATGTTTTACAAATAAACATGGTGCTTAGACCTTGACTTCCAACAAACAAACAAAACGATTTCAGATGCACTAACCCCTCATGACCTTACAAAAGAGTTGACTTCATAGAAATCAACACAACCCACTGGCTAAATGTGAAGTTAGGAAGTTGATTGGTAAATGATCTAATTACATTTAGATTAATGTAAAAAAATTTCTTTTTATTAGCAAAAATTTATTACATTGGTATATTAACATTATCTATAAACAGTCAACAATTTTTATTATTTACAAAATAAATAAATTAATATAAAATCTTGTTTTTTATTTAAAAAAATTATAACAAATTCTATTGGGATTTTTTAAATAGTTTATTGAGCCAATTATTGTTGTTACAGTTTATTTTCTTTCATTCACTTTGGTCTTAAATACATAACATCAATATAATAGTAAAACTGTCGAAGTTTTAATTTGAATACTTTAAAATAGGACGTTTGATTTTTTTTAATCGTTATCACAGTTTAAAAAGCGCTAGAAAAATGATTTGATTGGTTGAATGAGGCCGATTTTTACTTTGTACATGCGAATTGATACTGTGACTCAGGTGTCGCAGTTTTTCAGTCTTATAAGCTGTGTAAAATTTTTACATTTCGATAGCGAGCCATTTCCCAGCATGAATTTATTCGTTTCAAAATACATAATATATAAGCTCCAATCTCAAAGAGGGTTCGATTAATTTTTGTTTGCAATACAGCAAACATGTTCGGAGACAATAATGACCAGGTATTTGAGTGAAGATTTCTCCAATGAACCTCTTACAATTTGTGTGTAATAGATCTTATAAATACGTAAAGACAGACAAGAAGAAATGGCAAAATGCCATAATTAAAAATCCTTCCAGGCACAATAATTTCTAGTTACAAAAGGAAACAATTTTTTTTTAACAACAATCAATTTGTACCAATTATACTGCAGGTAGTAACGACAAGTGAAGGTTAAATTATAAAATTAAATTAGATCAGTCGATACAATAAGAACCATTCAATGCAAAATATTAAATAGGTGTATACTTTTATTTTGTGATATTTTAAAATTTGATGGTTTATTTATTACTGCAACCATGGACGAGTATATTTGAATCGCAGAGCCTTGATGATTCGTTTATATTAAAAAATAAATGGTTTAAGTAGTGAGAAACAGTAGATTTACAACAATTCTATTAATACTAAAGTTAAGATTGAGGTTAAAAGGAGCTGGGCCCTTTACAACTTTGGGCACTGTGACCAATATTGGTTTCTTTAAGCTTAAGAGCTTCAAGCACCTTAGTACCAACACAGGATATATTCCACTGTTTCTTTTTCTTCCTGGCACTCAAACCCAGACCGCTCCTCACTACTTCAACCATTTATTGAACCACCGGATGCCAAACAAAACCTATATTAAAAAACTTAAATCGATTTGGCAAATGAGATTGAAATTAATAAAATCACAATAAATCAGTCAAATACAAGGCAGTGTATGCTGGAAAAAAAATAAAAAATAAAAATAAACAACAATTTCTCCGACAAAATATTATTGATTAATTTTTCTGCAGGATTTTAAAACTATTGTTTAACAATGGTGCTGCCATCGACTCGACAATAGTTTGAAGCGCAGCCTCCGTTATTTCCGAATCGTAAACAGGCATCAACCCATAATTTGAAATATCTGAACTTTCTGTTACAGTACACGTTCTCCTTTCGTTTTCCAGTTGATTGAAAAAGTTGGCCATGTTTTCTCTATCTGCATTCATATCCGTTTTATCACTACTTGAGCACTCGTTTCTTTTCAAATCAAGCACTGTATCCTAAAAAAGGAAATTTTTAACATTAAAGAACAAAAAGTTAAAAATCTAAAGATTAAAAGTAAATTCACTAATTTCGTGGTCCGCTTGACCAATTAATATATTACAATTGATTAAGGTTTTTAATTGAGATAAAAAAGTCAATGGCATGAGCGGGATTCGAACCCACGATCTTCGGTTTGATACGCCGCTGCTCTACCACTTGAGCTATCGTGACCTCGATCCACTCGGACACTAACTTCCCATCTCAACCCCACCTTTTGAGTTTTCCCTCCTTTTTGCCATTTTTCAAATGTCATGTAATCGGATTGGATTCTCGGCGACAAATGAAATGGCCACAGAGAGCTTTAGTGAAGTATACTTCATTTTAATTCATTAAATTCACTAATTTCGTGGTCCGCTTGACCAATTAATATATTACAATTAATTAAGGTTTTTAGTTGAGATAAAAAAGTCAATGGCACGATGGGAAGTTGATGTCCGAGTGGATCGAGATCACGATAGCTCAAGTGGTAGAGCAGCGGCGTATCTAGCCGAAGATCGTGGGTTCGAATCCCGCTCGTCCCATTGACTTTTTTATCTCAACTAAAAACCTTAATTAATTGTAATATATTAATTGGTCAAGCGGACCACGAAATTAGTGAATTTAATGATTTGAAATGAAGTATACTTCACTAAAGCTCTCCGTGGCCATTTCATTTGTTATCGAGAATCCAATCCGATTACATGACATTTGAAAAATGGCAAAAAGGAGGGAAAATTCAAAAGGTGCGGTTGAGATGGGAAGTTGATGTCCGAGAGGATCGAGGTCACGATAGCTCAAGTGGTAGAGCAGCGGCGTATCTATTCAAATCCCGCTCGTGCCATTGACTTTTTTATCTCAACTAAAAACCTTAATTAATTGTAATTAAAAGTAAAGTTTATGATTTTTTGTGGTGACCAATATTGGTCTATTGTACAATTTCCATTATTATCTAGAGCTCTTCAAGCTTTTTTTACCAGATCCCAAAGCTTTGTTAATTCTTCAGCCCGTGGGTAGAAATCGCAACCTTTCTTCTTCTTCCTGGCCATATTTGCATTGGCATGTAGCTGTCCCAAGGCTCATATGTCTATCTTAATTTTAATCCATGTCTGATGGACTTATGTTTTTGTCAATTTGGTATGGATAAAAAAAGTTCAAGGCTGATACGTGACCTTATAGTTAAGACTTTAAAATTAATCCTCTTAAAATCCTATCTAACTACAATTGTGTACGTTGTGTTCATCATTTCTATCCATCTGTAATGAAATACATTTTAATTTTGATTTTTAAAAAATTATTGAACAATTTCCTATTATTTTATTCTCTTTTTAAACTTGACAATACTTTATGTATGTTACTTTTTTTTAACATGTATATGTTTTTGGGCTAGTAAAAGAAATTATTTGTGTGTAACCATTTTCATTAACTGAGGGGTGCACATGGATTGGGCTAGGTTATGTTAAGTTAGGTTTCTTTCTGTCAGTAATAAATAATTAATATTAAATCTGTTTAATCCATTTAACTTATGTTAAAATAACATCAATTCATGCTAGAAAGTATCTTACAAGTAACAAATTCTATGCCAAATGAAGAATTTGAAATAGAAACTGACTCACCAGAAATAGAAAAAAAAATTTTAGATGATCAATTCCATAAAAAATCATGCTTTGCACTTGCATATTTTCTCCACTTCCTAAAATCATTGAATCATCGATACATGTAACCTAACCCTACACCCGTTTGTGTCCTATAGAATGGGTTAATATCCAACACCCTGAGTGTCTCAGACAAGGTGTTAAATTATATTACAATAGTTTTTCCAAATTATTCTTGATTAAAATACCATGGGCTATACCAGGAATTAAACACGACAAATTTGAGTTGGACGCCCTAACCACTCAGCTTCCAAGCCCTTATAGTACTTTTGAAAAGGTTAGTTCCTACTCACAGTAAGTTGTTTTGCAACGCTCCGGATTTCGAGCCTTTTAGCTCATCATCAGGTTGAAGGACTTCTACAACCACGTCTCTCGACATGAATTGCCAAAAGACTTTGGACGAGAGAGACGTGGTTGTGGAAGTCCTTCAACCTGATGATGAGCTAAAAGGCTCGAAATCCGGATCGTTGCAAAACAACTTACTGTGAGTAGGAACTATCCTTTTAAAAAGTATTGAACACCACACTCACTCCATCATTTATCATTTCTAGCCCTTATAGTATGTCAATTAAGTATATTAAGTAGGTAGTATAGTATTATGGTAAGACTATGGTTAGGTTAGATTCCATATCTATGATTCGATGTTTTTCCACGAAGCGGACAATTCTTTACCTATTTCTTTCTGTCAATAATAAATAATTAATATTAAATCCAATTTGTCTACTTAATCAGCATAACTTATGTTAAAGTAACACCAATTCATGCTAGAACATATTACATAAGTAACAGAATTATGCCAAATGAAGATTTTGAGATAGAAATTGACTCACCAAAAATATTCAAAAATCTATGATGGCCTATTCAATAAGATGCACTTTGCACTCACATAATCTAATCAAAATTCTACCTAACCTAACCCGTTCCTAACCCATAACTCTAACCTAATCTAACCTATGCTCACTTTCACAAAAACCTATTAATGTTAATATTCATACAATAATTAATTCATTGTGTAAACAGTTTATACAATAATTAAAATAAAAACAAAAATCTTACAATCCACTTAATGAATTCCTTCTTCCTTTTCAGCCACAAAAAGTAAGCATCTAGGATTTCAACTGCAGCCTGAAGATGTTTCTGATACCCAGCATAATAAACCTTTTTGTTACTTAAAACTAGAAGTTCCCAAACTGACAAATGGGATATGCATGGTATAGAGCTAGTTTCCTCGTGAATCTGGAAAATAAATAAAATTAAATGACAACATTGATCAAATAGGAAATTATTTAAGAATAAGTGACATTACTTAAAACTACAGGATAAAAGCGATAATTTTAAACATGGCTTGGGAGTTTTCTGATCACTTGTTCCATGCAGTTTTTGCATTTAAGCTCGTAATCTTCAGTGTGTTGTATGTCCATACAAGGGTGGGGGTTGATATAGAATTATTTCAATCTTTTCCTCCACTGCAACCTAAGTAGATGTACAGTGGAGCTCCTATAAATTATAGCCATATCTTGGCCATATCATAACTGCAGGTGTGATTACATTTTAGTCATTATTTTGGCTAGTATTGGAACTGGAAAAATGGTTTGAGAAAAACTCAAACATCGGACAAACGCACCAAGCATGAGGCAAGCTAAGGCGAAAGAACTCTCTCTCTGAATAGGTAGGATTTGAGGAAAATTATAGGCCGCTATACCGGCCACTGCCCAATTAACTATCAACTGAAGAAGACGGGCAAAGCAGACATTGGCACATGTCCTTGTGAATGTGAAGCATTAGCTTGGTTACCGTACAGAAGTAAGTGCAAGTGCACTTTCCTTTGTGCCCCTTTACAAACCTCCTTTGTGTGAGAAATGTTCTGTACGGCAAAGCATTAGCTTGGTTACCGTACAGAACATTTCTCACACAAAGGAGGTTTGTAAAGGGGCACAAAGGAAAGTGCACTTGCACTTACTTCTGTACGGTAACCAAGCTAATGCTTCACATTCACAAGGACATGTGCCAATGTCTGCTTTGCCCGTCTTCTTCAGTTGATAGTTAATTGGGCAGTGGCCGGTATAGCGGCCTATAATTTTCCTCAAATCCTACCTATTCAGAGAGAGAGAGTTCTTTCGCCTTAGCTTGCCTCATGCTTGGTGCGTTTGTCCGATGTTTGAGTTTTTCTCAAACCATTTTTCCAGTTCCAATACTAGCCAAAATAATGACTAAAATGTAATCACACCTGCAGTTATGATTAAATTGTCAAAGTTGAGTTACAGTGCTGTCTGTAAAAATGTCAATTTTTGTAGAAGTTGGATTAGCAGCATACTCTAACGTTTTTAGGATACCAATAACTTCGGCTGCGATTGATCTGCATAGGAGATTTAAGTTTGTATTGCTTGTGGTATTGACTTTGAATAGCATCAAAGGCACAACCCGTAACACCTCCCAGTTTAGATCCATTGGTCAAAATTTTACGATAATTTGGAAATTTTGTTGTAAATGTCAGCTTTGTGTTCTAGATTGAATATTGGAGTTGTAGGATTTTAAAAGCCTTGAAAATTGTGGGGGATACACAGAAGAACGAGTTCAGTTAGCAGCAGGGGTTTCTTCTTTAGCTTGTACCTATCTGTGAAAACTTTTTGGGCTAAACCTCTTAATTTTCTAAGCATATAGTCTGATTAAACAGTTCTTTGCAAGTTTTTCACACCGGGTATTAAGCGGGATTTTACGAGCCTCAGAACAGAGTGCTCGAATAGGAGTGCTAGGGAGAACTCCTAAGTTCTCAGGCCTCAGGCAAAAATGGAGGTCTGACATATAACATAATCGGGAGTATGAGCATGAGAAACAGAGTCTATTGTGGTTTGAATCGTCTTTCTGTAAAAACCAAACCTACTTCCTACTGAAAGGTTAATAATCATTTGTTGGGTTCATGAGGTAGTTTAGAAAAACACCTTTTTCATTTGTTTGCTGATGCTTTGACCTTTATTTGGGTCATCTTCAGGGCATAAAGTGTCGTGCTATTCTTGTGGTATTGGTGTTGTGTGAAAGTGTTGTAAAAGGTAATCATATTTACCTTAGCTGTTTCTTTCTGCCTTATTTCATTTAATCTATCGATCGCTCGCAAATTATTTTTAATCTTTCCAGCTTTAAACATCAACATTTTCAGGAAATCTTCAGAGTTGTCTAGCTCGACTTTTTTGCACTCATTTATCTTTAAAAAAAAATTTTTTTGTGAACAAATCAATCAAATCTATTAACAATTGTTCGGTGATTCCTCACATTGCATTTCTTTCTGTCTGGTTCTTGTCCAAATTCAGAAATAAGCACACTTTTAGATATAATCTTGTCAAAAGCTTCTTCTAGTTTATTGTCAACGACCAGCTTCCCCAAGGCGAGGAGAAGTTCCCTGCTCCCATAAGTGCTGTTGTCCGGCAGGGCGTAAAAACTCGCCATTCTGTAGCCGAATTTGGTGAGCATCAATTTTTTCACACAATAAACAATATCTGAAATATGAAAAGTGGTGATTATATTAAAAGCTTGAGAGTTCAGTTTTTGTCTACCTGAACAATTTCTTTGGTCGCAGACAATTCTGTGGATAATCCTCCAGAACACTACAACCTAAAAAAATATATATTTTAACTTTAACAGGGATAACAATTTTATTCCAATTAGATAGAACTAAGCTAAAGGTACCAAAATATGATAAAATATTTCAACATTAATGGGTTTTTACGTTTTAAAAATAAAAACAAATTCTCACCGTGTGATCCGAGGTACGGTTGAATTTACCGTGGCTGAAATGAATAGAAAGCAACTGTTCGCTGTACATTTTGTTAATTAGATTGCAGAAAAGTAATATCGTGTCCTTAATTCCTTCCATGAGTGCAAAATAGCTAGGCAAAATCAAATAAATATGCTAAATAAGAAAAACATCGAGAATCGCCGGGTAAGGGCGAATGATTCAGGATGAAATGATCGAGAATCAATTGAATCGATCGTTCAAAAGACTCGGTTCTGAATCATCGTGAATCGACTCTAAACGATGAACGTCGATTCTTTACAGCCGGCTTTTGTTATTGGGTTGTCGGTCAAATAATGCAGGTTTATGGTTATAAAATAAAAACAATTAAATAAATGATTTTAAACATTTTTTATTAATTAAAATACCTTCTATCACTCTCAATACACTTCTCCCAACTGATAACAACTTCTCTATATCCTTTGAATAAAATATTGAGTCTTTAATTATTAATAAATTCAGTTCCTCTGGGTATGAAGTTAAACTGCGTTCAAATTATGGATAACATATATAACTTTCATGTACCCCTCCCGTACCTGGTGGCCATCCTTAACACACCATACCCTTTACTAACCTAACAACCTTACCTTTCATTCCCGTAACTACCCCTTTAGAACCATGGATGCTCCCTTTACTGACTGTGAGGGACGAAATGGCGACAAGAGAGAAGAAGGAGACCCCCTGCACCTATCAAGCAGATTTCCCCTCTTTGCGAGGCATCAGGTCCGGGGTCAGACCTAGGCCTTATTCGTCCAACCACCAAGGTTGGGTTGTGGGGGGGGGTGCTGTCAACAGCTATGTCAAATCAGCACTGAACGCATGCAGTTCCAAACCAATTCGTACTCACATTCATTCTTAAATACATGCACTCCTATTTACATACCATTCATTCAATTAGGGTGATGGAGTACTCAATATTCCTCCAACACCCTTTACACACATTATACAACTAACATAATTGAAGATCGATGTATATCAATATTCCTCCATCGAGCCTCTCACATCACACTTTCACGCTAATAAGTACATTCAAGCTAATAAATACATTCACTCTCAACAAAAGCTAGGTACCACAACTATTCTCACTGTGTAAATAGAACAACCCCATTTTCTCCAAGAATCGGAATACGGGACCCAAATACTTGCTGCCTTACCCGAGTATAACTCTCAAATTGGGTGGCATTCCTGTGTGCTCTTTAAGGAGCCAAGGAATTGCACCCTTCAATTAGGTGGGATACATCATGCAACCTTTCTATGCATGCCGGACACATACGCGGGCTTTGCCCCAAAATTAAATGTACGTGTGTCAACCTTACATGGCGTATTATTAATCGGGTGAGGATGACTCTTCTTCTACGAGTCAGATCCTCCGAGGGCAATCTGATCACCCAGATCATCGACAGTGCTCTTGAAACGCAAGAGCTTCTTTGTCGACCCGACCCACTGACGTTTTAATTGAGTTTTTACTGTATTTTTAGCATCAGAAGGCCTGGTCGCAGTGGTTAAGAACGGAGGTTGGGACATCCCGACCCTACCGCCTCCTCCGCCTTTTCATTACCCTTCAGACCTATGTGTCCAGGTACGCAGACAACAACCACCATTTTGCCAAGTTCGTGGAATCTCTCCAACAAAAGTACTATGAGAGGGTCGACAGAAAAGCTGTCCAGACAGCAGTGTTGGGCAAAAATTAATCATTTCTAATGATTAATGATTGATCACTCAGACCGTTAGTCATGATTGGTAGTAAGTGACTAATTTAGTCATTATTCGCCATATGTGATTGATGGCTAAATTAATCATGACTAGTAATTAAATACGAGGCATGACTAATTTAGTCACAATATAGTTAGTCATGACTACATTTCGAGAAATCATGTTCAAATGGGTGCTCAAAAAATGAAAAATACACTTCATCACTTTTAAAAAACAAAAATTTATTTCATCAAAACGAAAATCCTTCAACACCTTATTTATCAAAAATCAATCTTCCAATTATAAGTAAAACTCCGTTGTTATGAAAAGCCAAAAAATAATAATAATGATAATAATAAAATAAAATAAAAAAATCCTAGAACAAGCTACGCTTTGAAAAGTAAATATGTTTACATAACCGATCAATGGAAAAAATATTTCTTTGAATTAAAATTTATTCCACTTAAAAGGAGAGATTTCTACATTATTTGGAAAATACACAATCTAGGGGTCTTGATTGTAATAAATATAGACATGTAGAATAATTATGTAACTTTGGTTTTCGTTTATGATAACAATTTTTGAAGGTCGGCCTTGAGCACTACTCTCATCTCAAAATTTTTATCCGGAGTCTGTTGGATTTTGGTAAATTGGTCATTGTAGCCAGAGTTGGGCAAAATCAAACTAATTCAATCATGTTAAGAATTTTGATCGAAGTTTAATCATGACTAATTCAATCATGATTAAACTTCAGTCAAAATTCTTAATCATGATTGAATTAGTTAGATTTTAATAGATGATGGGGTTTGGGTTAGATTTTGCCCAACTCTGCCAGACAGCAATAACCACGATGAGGAAATCTGTGCAGACTAGGTAGGCAGAGCCATCATTGTTTTGAATCACCTCAAGCACATGGTTTCTGTGGCTGTGTTCATAAAGATGATAAAAGTTTTAATTTCTATTTTTATTTTTTTACTTTAAATTTTATTTATTTCTTTTTAATTTTTGCTTAACTCTTTGATAATCTAGGCATGTCTGGATACTTTAAAAACAGACTCAAATCAATCATATTTTTTCCTTCGTCATATTTTACAGATCTTTTCATAGAAAAAAAGAACAGGGCATGTGTCAACGTTCTGACCAAAAGGGGCATCTCCAAAGAAGAAAAACTTCTAAACCAGAGGCTTGTCTATAATATTTATATTTATAATATTTATTTTTTGAATGGAGAAATTAAAAAAAGCCTGAAGGCTTTCTATCCATCAGCATTATTATATTTGGTTGGCCATTAAAAAATAAAATAGTCAAGAGGCAATTTGTTTTATGACAGTTTATCTGTGAACAGAGGATGCGTCAACATTCTGATCAAAATGAGTGTCCTTAGTGACTGTTGATTTAGTACACAGCAAAAAGAAGAAAAGCTTCTAAACCAGAGGCTCGTCTATATTTATAGTTTTAATAATACCCCATTAACTATTTGATGTTAGGTGTGTGGATATTTTAATAACAGACCTGATTTCATATTATCCATCAGCATTATTCTATTTGGTTGATCATTAAAAAATAACATTGAATAAATAAAATAGTCAACAGGCATTTTGCTTTATGACAGTTTGTCTATGAACGGGGGATGCGTCAACGTTCTTATCAAAAGAGGCGTCCTTAGGGACGGTTTCCTTTGCAGTTGCCGTTAACCGTTAACCGTAGCTATTCCTTCTCCTTTGCAAACTTTCTCCTCACTTTCCCCAGTGGCTATTTTTCGACTTCGACCTTTCCGGTATGTCAGTGATATCATTTAAGTCACGTTACTTGAGCTAGGCGTCCAAACGAAGTGAAAGTCCTAGCAATGACTGCTGACCCGCTGTTAACTAGTTAATTAATAGAAATAAAATATGAGAACCTGCTATGTCTTAAGTGCTATATACGTATGCTGGTCGAGGAAAATGATAATTCAAAAGAAATGGGGCAGTTTCAAAACGCTGTGCATTTTCGTTTTGTGCTTCTGCCTCGGCCTTGTCCTTTTGAACCTGTCTCATTTGAAGTGTGTGAAACAAGAGAATACGAACAGGTTCGAAAGCCATCTCCGTGCGCCGAAGCCGGCGGTCGATTCTCCGATCTATGTGGTGTATGGGAAAAGAGTAAGTACGATTAGTGTTCGCCTCTTGGCATTACTCTGAACTTTAAATTGTTTCAGGTCGACACGGGCCACCTTAGACACGTCTTCGATATGTTCAAATTGTTCGGATACGAACGGAGAGATCTCAATGCGAGCAAGTGGGATGTCATGTGGGCCCACGACTACCCTTTCCAGAAGCTTTACAGTTCGGTGAAAAACCTTAAACCACACCAGAAGGTATATCAGATAACCATTAACAAACTCTTTTTCAGACTGAGATGTTTTCCATCTGCTTATTGCTCATCTTATTAGTTTTTGGCAGACCATCTTACTTTCAAAAAAATTATAGGCCCATTTTTATGTTGTAAGATGTAATATTTGAGGTTTGTATTATACTGCGCCTTTTAAGTGCTATTGTATCCCCCATTCTGTACTGGTGAGTCCTAGTTCATCAAGAGATTTGATTAATAAGCCTGTTTTGAGTGGTTGAATTTCTTCTACGGTTTCATTGTACAAGCCAAAACTCTTAGCAGTGCCACAGTCTGTTAGTAGGTGTGTTGGTGTCTCTTCTGCTTCTTTGCAAAATCAGCACTGGCCGTGTTGTGTTCTACCAATCTTCTTCAGATGCCCATTAAGTCTGCAGTGTCCTGTCAGGTTTCGAAGTTTTTCCTGCTTCCTTTAATGCACTCTATTGTTTCGTTCCCTAAAAAACTTGCTCGAAAGGTATTGGTTTGTTTGTGTCCAATGAGAGAATTTCACTGTTTCATCATTTTCATTTTGTCTTTTTCTCTGTGTGACTCCCTAAGCCACAGAAGGGCTCAGGACATATCAATGGTATAGCAGCCCCATTCTCTTGTTGCCCTCTATTCCTACATATCCTGGGACCCAGTGGAGAGTAACTTTGTTTTTCATACCTAATCTGTTTAGTTTTGCAATTCAATACCACCTTTGAGCTAATGATGTTTGAGCATAGTGCTTTGATGGCTGCTTGGCTGTCTCAAATGATAGCTATAGTCTCATTTTTGTGCCACTGTTCTAATTGAATTGAGTATATTTCAGAATTGCATGGACTTCAGCCAAGATGCTGGTGTATTTTCTCATGGGTGCTAGTCCTTGGTTCCAGGTCTGAATACTCCTGCCCCCTTACCTTCTTCTGTTCTAGATCTCAATGGAGGGATCTTTCCCTCTTTCCTATTATTTTTTGGTACTTAGATTTGTCCGGAAATTTTGCTTCAACTCGAACATCCTGTTCATGCCATTTTTATGGCTTAGGTCAATAAGATAAACTGTGATAAAACAAATTTCTCCCTGTTGATTACTTTTTTTTAATGATCTACCAAATATAATAATGCTGATGGGTTTGTTTGTTGGTTGGTTTTCTTTGAATCTGCTCTTAAAATATGTGGATACTACTTATTACCCTACAATTTATTTTATAGTGTGGCCTTTTGTAATCATCCTGTCTATCCTTACTGGTTTTAACTATCAGAAGCAGTTCGACTTTGTCATCTTCAGTGGGTTATTAGTGAACAAATGTATAACACAAATAACACAAACCGGTCACTAAAGATGGCAAACTGTTTGTTGAGCCAAAAGGTTGTAGGTTGGGATGAGGAGTTGGTATCCGAGTGATCCAAGTCACAATAGCTCAAGTGGTTAGAGCAGCGACGTATTGAGCCGAAGGTCGTGGGTTTGAATCCCACTCGGGACATTAACTTTTTCATCTCAACCAAGACTTTAGATAAAAGTATAATTAAGTGAAATAATTAAATAGGTCAATTATGACCACTAAAAATATATGGATTAATTTCACTAATTTCGTGGTCCGCTTGACCAATTAATATATTACAATTAATTAAGGTTTTTAGTTGAGATAAAAAAGTCAGTGCCACGAGCGGGATTCGAACCCACGATCTTGGGCTAGATACGCCGCTGCTCTACCAGCTACTACCACTTGAGCTATCGTGACCTCGATCCACTTGGATACTAACTTCCCATCTCAACCGCACCTTTTGAATTTTCCCTCCTTTTTGCCATTTTTCAAATGTCGTGTACATTAAATTAATTATTTTGGTAGATCAACCACTTTCCTGGTAGTGGATTTATAACCAACAAAATGGACTTAGCGACCACAGGTCTAACGTTTATTCCGAAAGCATTCAAAATTCCTCAGCAGAAGGAGCAACTCCTGCAATACGTAAGTCACAGAAACCAATTTTTCATCTTTCAAATAGTTTATTTATGAAAAAAAAAATTATAATAAAGGGATGAGTAGAATTTTTTTTACTGATCTTAATTTATTCATAAATACCAATTACAATTTTAAAGTCAAGTGTAATGAATTTTTTTAAATTGTGTGATATTGATTAGTATTATTAAATTCACTAATTTCGTGGTCCGCTTGACCAATTAATATACTACAATTAATTAAGGTTTTTAGTTGAACTAGGAGGGAAAATTCAAAAGGTGGGGTTGAGATAGGAAGTTGGTGTCCGAGTGGATCGAGGTCACGATAGCTCAAGTGGTAGAGCAGCGGCGTATCAAGCCGAAGATCGTGGGTTCGAATCCCGCTCGTGCCATTGACTTTTTATCTCAACTAAAAACCTTAATTAATTGTAGTATTATTAAAGTTGAATAAACTTACTGCCTTTATTATAATTTATTTTATAGTTTAGTATCTTTTTGATTTGTGACCAGTTTTTATTCAAAATTTTCACATACGTACCAGTTGCCCTCCAAAAAGTCCTATTGTTTTGTTAAATTAATTCTATTTGGTTTATCAATTTTTTACTCTTTGTAAAGATGATATTAAATGTTAATCCAGTCTTAGTTGTGTAAATGGTTCATGTTGAATCCAAAATTCACTCCATGTTTACTTTTGAGTACAAACATGTTTTAAAAGTGGCTGAGACAGCTCACAAAATACGCTGGATGTTCAGTGTTTATCGATGGGACACAATTGAGATGTTGATTTTGAATCAGATCCTCACCAAAGCTACTCATAGATAGCTTATTAACTGCCCAGAAAAGTACAAAGCTAGATATTTAAATGAGCACCTCACACTTCAACCGACGCTGTTCTTTTATCTCTAACATATTCCCCTGCCCAAAACTACATCCATTCTTTGATAGAATTAAAAGTAGGTCTTGTACAATAATTTTAGTCAGGTCATATCAATGGCCCTTGATTATGAACCTAGGTAATTTCCTAAGTCTGGCCTGACTGCTAGTATACTGCTAACTTAATTTTGACAACAGTCCGAAGTGGTCATAGATAACAAAGATTTTTGAAAGAAAGGCAGCTCCCAAGTTTCAAGTAGGGGCCCTAATATAGTACACTGATAGATCAAAGATCAGGAAGTTGAGGTAGGGGTAAAAAGGCCGATTACACCTTAGCAAAACATCTTTGACTGGTTCCAACTATATTCTAAGCTGAGATCCATGCAATCCAATGAAGTGCACATTTTCGGACAGTCAGGCAGCTATAAAAGCACTAAATGTGCATGCTTTTAGCTTCAAACTAATCTGAGGCTAATGGCTTTAGGAGAACACAAGGTTGCCTTCAACTGGGTTCCGGGATGTGGTTTAGAAGGAAACAAACAGGCTGATTAACTAGCTAAAGAACGGGCACAACTGGTGTGTGCTAAAGACTGAGTTGGAATAACATCTAACAGCTGGAGTAATTCGCTTGAGAAAGAAAATCTCTCTCTCAGTAGGCAAGAATTGAGATCCTCTGTACTGACCACTCTTAAGTACCATAGTCAAAGCTGACACAAAAACATGCCGACTGTATCAAGAGGAACTAGAGACGTTAGCACAAATATTTTGTGAATGTGAGACACTATACAGTACGGATGGTGTAGCCACTCTCATAAGGTGAATTCTCACACCAAGAGAAGTGCACAAAGGAGCACTGAGGAAAGTACTAAGGTTTGTGGGAAATAGCATTCTTTCTGTGGTATGGTATAAATTATACGGGTTCCGAAATAGACGTGTTCAACTTCAGGTTAGAGGTCACAGTGGAGTAAAGGTTTGGGACCACCATTCTGTACTGGTCTAATACAAAACTTTAAAAAAATTTCTCGCTTTTCAGGCTCAGTAGGCTGAAAAGACCTATTCTTCGAAAGGAGCGGGATGCCAGCACACTGAAAAGTTACAAGGGAAAAATAAATAAACTAATAAATAAATAAATATAAAAATTATATGTATTTATAATTCATGTATATAAATTAATGAGTGGGAAACTGCTGCATCCTCCTACTCTCTAGATCTGGTGCCAACAGATTATCAACTTTGCACGTCTTTTGACAATAGCCGTAGGCAGAAACAGCTCGGAAACTGGCAAAGTCACGAAATTGGAGTTCTTTTTTTATTACTTACAAAACTCTATCTTACTTCTCATCGGAAGAGAGTAATTAAAGCCGAATAAAATTTTATTTTCTACACTTTTTGGAGAACCTGGTATATTTTTGTCCTTTTCTACTATCTCTTATCAAGTCTCATCAATTTTTGTTCAGGCTAAGACACACACTTTGAAGAAATTTGTGCAAAAAAGTAACGACCATAGGGGCATCAAGATTAAGAAGTTTGATGAAATAAATTTCACGCAAAATGACAGTTTTGTCCAAGAATTTATAGATAACCCGCTGCTCGTCGATGGATACAAATTCGACATTGGAGTTTACACGATTATCACATCTTTTGACCCTCTACGTGTCTACATATACAACGGAGATGCTTTATTCAGGTTGTATAAATGTTAATTAAAACTAAATCATTAGATATAAATGGATAAAGCGATTGTAGCTCAATTGTTCGTTATTATCTTGGTTTATTTATTCTCACTGGTTCAACAACTTCACAGAGAAGTAATGAAACATGTTTGACGGACAGAACTGGCTAAGATAGGCAGATCGGAAAGTCATGTACTTGAATAAATCAATATTTAAGATTTAAATAAAATGTTAAAAGCTTCGGAAGTATTTAATTAGAGTTGGACTGTGTAGATTAGAAGAATAAATCTAAACAAGTTGACTAGAGTACAGAATGAGTTTCCCATGTCATTCTAACATTTATTTCTCAATAGACCCAATATAAATCATTTAAAAAAAAATGTAATTTAATTAAAAATCAGGAGTAAGTTCATTTTAAAAGAATACATTCAATTTCTTTGTAGAGCTTTTGTAAATTATTTTAGTTTGAAAATCCTGATGTAGTAGATATATTCTTTGAAAGCTCAATTAAGGAACTGATTTTCATAAAAAAGCATTGTGGTGATAGGTCAGAAAATATTAGACACTATTCTGCATTCTTGCCAATAAGCCCCTCGGAAAACTATGGGAAAAATATTTTGTGTATTTAATATTTAAAAAAAGTGTTTTTCTTGCTTTGTTGTGCATTTATCTCATAGTTGATATATGTCAGTTGAATACTTTTTAAAAGGATAGTTCCTACTCACAGTAAGTTGTTTTGCAACAATCCGGATTTCGAGCCTTTTAGCTCATCATCAGGTTGTAGAAGTCCTTCAACCTGATGATGAGCTAAAAGGCTCGAAATCCGGATTGTTGCAAAACAACTTACTGTGAGTAGGAACTATCCTTTTAAAAAGTATTGAACACCACACTCACTCCATCATTTATCATTTCTATGTCAGTTTATTTGTGTTTTTAAGTAGGATGTGAAAATAACATGCAGGATTGTATAAAATGGGGGTACATATATATATAAAAAGTTGCAAAAACCAAAAAATGCTTCAAGTAAAGCAGGTTAAAAAATAATTCAGATTCGTTTTAGGCACCCTTTAAAGTCTTTAAATACAATTCTTCATAAAAAATAAAATAATAGACATTTTTGAGTTTGATTAGCTTAGAGGGTCATTTTTTGTTTCTGATGCTCGGTGTTCCATCCAATATAAATAGCTTCTCTGGATTTTATCCTAATTCAAGGTTATGACAACTGTTGGAAAGCTGAATGTCTTTTCTTTTGACCTTTCTCAAAAAGGTTTATATATTATGTCATTATAAGTGAGAAAAATAAGGGTGAAATCAATAAACCACCTCAAACATTATTTGTAAATTATCCGGTTCTAATTTATTTAAAATTTATATCTTTTTAAATTATGCTTTTTCTGCCTCTGTTGTTCGTGTATTTCAAGGTTGGTATATCACAATTAATTAAGGTTTTTAGTTGAGATAAAAAAGTCAATGGCACGAGCGGGATTCGAACCCACGATCTTCGGCTTGATATGCCGCTGCTCTACCACTTGAGCNAGATGGGAGGTTGGTGTCCGAGTGGATCGAGGTCACGATAGCTCAAGTGGTAGAGCAGCGGCGTATCAAGCCGAAGATCGTGGGTTCGAATCCCGCTTGTGCCATTGACTTTTTTTCTCAACTAAAAACCTTAATTAATTGTAATAAACTATTATGTTTACCATTATAAATAATATGCTTTTCTAGATATTGCCCAGAGAAATATTATCCATTTGATGACAAGCATTTGGACAAGTATGTAGTCGGAGACAATTATCTGCCAACTTGGGAAGTGCCATCGCTCAGAAAGTTATACAAAGACATGGGCTATTCAATGAAGCAATCGTTTAATGGGTACATGAAGTTAACCGGTAATTAATTTTATTTAAAAAATTAATTAAAATTGCAGTAAAAAGTTTTATTTTTTATTTTATTTTTGTTTTATTTATTTTTATTTTGGTGGAGGTATTGAAAGAAGGTAACTGACGAAAAAGGGACAAAGGTTTAAACTCATTGATAACGCTGCTTAGTTATATGGGAACTAACAAACAAGGAAATGGCAACTGGTGCGAATTACACTTTGTTTCATGGTTGATGGTTCGTATCATTAATCTTTTCCAAATCTTACTTAAAATTATTTAATTTATTACATAATACATTAATTGTTTCTTCTGAAAATATTAATTATTCTATTTTCTTAGTTATAATTTAAAAAATTAAATTTGTAGTTAACTAATTGATCAAGATTTTAAACAAAACTAATACTTTACTTTGCTTATGACTATTAACATTATGCAGAAAAATAACAAAACACTGGCTACACAACATAGATCTGGGTATTTTAAACATAATTTATGGACATTTGAATACTACTTTCAGGATCATTTTCTCAGCGTTAAAAGACCAACGAATTACAATTGTAAGCCAAGCTGAGCCTAAGAGAGTTTTGTGCTAATGTTATTTCATTCGGTTTGTTTCCTAGGGTTTACTAAAGTTTATAACGGTGTGCAAGTGTGCAAGCAAGGTCAAGATGGGAAATTTAGGGCTTTCTTTTGAAAAGAGGAGGAATCTTTATTAGCAAAAAAGATTTTGGAGCAAAATTAAAAAATAATATAAAGATCAAATACAAAATAAGTATCCTACCAGTTGTTAAACTAAAGAGTAGGTTCAAAAAATACTATTTCAAATTTTTGTTTGCAAAACGAAAATATTCTTCAACAAAGAATATTTAGAATTTTAATTAATTTCACTAATTTAGTGGTCCGCTTGACCAATTAATATATTACAATTAATTAAGGTTTTTATCTCAACTAAAACCCTTAATTAATTGTAATATATTAATTGGTCAAGCGGACCAGGAAATTAGTGAATTTAATGATTGAAAATGAAGTTTACTTCACTAAAGCTCTCCGTGGCCATTTCATTTGTCATTGACACTCCAATCCGATTACATGACATTTGAAAAATGGCAAAAAGGAGGGAAAATTCAAAAGGTGGGGTTGAGATGGGAAGTTGGTGTCCGAGTGGATCGAGGTCACGATAGCTCAAGTGGTAGAGTATCTAGCCGAAGATCGTGGGTTCGAATCCCGCATGTGCCATTGACTTTTTTATCTCAACTAAAAACCTTAATTAATTTTAATTAATAGTAAATTATTTGATTCCAACATTTCCAAAGTTTCCAATCCTAGTGGAGCAATTTCCTCCAACGTCAACAGGACACTCTGGAATTAAAGCGTGATTCAACGCGCAAATTTAAGTTAGACCAACCCCAAGGTGTGGGGGCCGTGGTAGCCGAGTGGTTAAGGCGTCAAACTCTCGGCTAGTAGATCCCACGGTCGTGGGTCGATCCCCACCGTCGCTTCTGGACTTTTTCTGGCACCTAAGGGGACCAGTGGCTGCAATTGAAAGAAATTGACACGGCACTCATCAGTGGAAGGGGCGGGATCAGATCTCAGCGACCTTGAAATTGGTCCCAACCCTCTTCAAAAATGAGTTTCTTCGATGGAAGAACACCGGCAAACCGAGGGGCTCAAATTCACACTCGTGTTGCGAGCCCCCAAAAATGGAGCCAGGGATAAAATACAAAAAGCTGAACAGCTGCAGTGTTCAGAGGGAACTCTTCCAGTTCCTGGTATCGATTGAATTGAAAAAAAAAAAAAAAAAAAAAAACAGTGAGGATAGCCAGGCCAAAATGATCAGCAACAATCAGATTAGAAATTCATAAAATGAGCAAGTTTTGACTGACACTCAGCCCCTATTAGCATAAGAACCTGACTAGGGCAGTCTTTCAGCACAACATACATAGATTGGCCAAACACAAGTTTTTGCCAGCTTTATCAACTTTTAATTTGTAATAGAGTCTCGTGGATTGGTCAGAAAAACAAATAGTGCTTTTATACCAACACTGAACATTTGAAAATATTTTCATCTTCTTCAGGGTCTACAGAATTAGTCTAACTTAATTGTAATAACATTCATTTAATACGTTCAATGTGAATGACAGCAGCTGGTAGAGACTCCTGATAACCAAGTCAAACGAAACAGGTCCCGCAATGAACATGTAAAACATTAGAGCTAAATAATAACATATATATTTTGACATGTTGAATTATCGGTGGTTTAAAAGTATTTGAAATTACACCAGATTTGTATTTAGACTGCATAGTAAATCGATATGCAGACCACCCACCTTTCAAAAACTTCTTTACTGATTAAAATATTTATTCCTAATTGTATCGTTGTGTATTAAAGGTCGAGATCCGTCTATAATATGGCAGAAAATAGAGGAAGCGATAAAGGAAATCTGCTTGAATAAGGAGCCTCAAGTATTAAAATATCTATCATTGTACAAATCCAAAAGGAACTTTTTTGAAATGGTCCGATTTGATTTTGTCGTCGATAACGATCTAAATGTCTTCGTTATGGAGGTTTGTATATTATACATATATTTAATTTTTAACGTTGACTACACAGCACTTACACATTTGAGCTTGTTTTGTATTTCGAAGGCTTCTCTCTAAATTCAGGCCCAGGAAACATTTTGGTGTTCCATACAAGTCAACATGTTAATAATTTTATTGTTTTAACTCCCACTCGTCTTTTGGCACCATTTTCTTTTTTTGAAAAGTTGATTTAGATCCACCGCACTCTATAGACTTATTTTTTTTAAATCATTAACATTTCACAAATTTGTGAGTAAAAGCATCATTAACAAACAGTGAATTGACATCTACACCTTACCTTTATTTTTCTATTGATTCGTAGTTGGTCGATACCTGTCCTACTAAACAGTTCAATTGGCTGTCCTGTAAAATTGGCCAATTATTGCCTCAATTTCAATGAAAAATGCATAAGAATCTAACAAATTTGTTTTGTTATGAGACTAGCCTGTTGGTTTTTTTTTGGGGGGGGGATTAAAAATTGTATCTTCTCTTCGGAGTGAATGATTCATGTTAGAGCCAAGGCCATCTTCAATTTGTTGATCTACTCCTTTAATTTTTGAATTTCCTCCCTGGCGGAAGAAAGCTCGTATGCAATGAATCTGGTGTGCAGGCTGTGACAAAGTTAACAGCTATTGCAGCCAGTTTATCAATGAAATTTTGAGAATATCCCTTGCTTGGTGTAGCAATGAACTATGCTAGAGTCTGTAACAGCCTTGTACATTAAAAATCCTTTGGCCAAGTTACATTGCATTACTTAAGTTCTTTGTAGTTCATCCCTGTAGCGAGAAATCGTAATGTGGTTGCCAACCTTTCATTTAGTGATGATTTCTCTCATGACTGTCTTTTGTTTTCTAATCAAGGGGGTAACAAGCTGGAGTAAATATGAATAAGACGTTAATCTTTTTTTTGTAAAGTTTTGGTTGAAATGAAAAAATAGTGTCACGAGGGGATTCGAATCCACGACATTCGGCTAAATACGCCGCTGCGCTAACCACTTGAGCTATCCTGACTTTGATGATCCACTCGGGCACCAACTCTCCATCTCAACCTACAACCTTTTGAATTTTCTCTCTTTTTGCCATTTTTTAGTGTCGGAGAGGATCGAAGTCACGATAGCTCAAGTGGTAGAGCAGCGGCGTATTTAGCCGAAGGCCATGGATTCAGATCCTGCTCGTGGCACTAGCTTTTTCATTTCAACCAAAACCTTGCAAGAAAAGATTAAATAATTGAAATAAGTAATTTGGTCAATAGAACACTAAATATAATGAATAAATAAGACGTTTCATCCATCCTTAAATAGTTCCTCCAATCAGCGGGTTCAAGGGAAAGATCTTTCATCAAATTGATGTGGGTATTACAGCTTCTGCTCAGAAGCCACTTCTTACACCATTTTCTCTTCGATTTTTTGCTTTTAATATGTAAATAAACCGAAGAGTAGCACAAGAGATGGTCATCCATTTTGAGAAGGTGATTCACTGGTTGACGTTCGGAGCGACTGGCTGTGGAGCAGTCGTGAATGCCCCCTTAAATTTCAGGCACTCCAAATGGAGCTGTACGGCTTGGAGTGATCGTGAATGGCCATCTTTTATGTTTCATAGCCGTCTAGTCCTGGGTTTATTACAATGACAAAATATCAAGCGGCAGGGTGGCTAACATCAGGTAACTTAGTAGTATCTGATTTTATTTTGACCGATGTGAAGACAGCTTCTAGCCGAGCAAACCATAGCAGGTCCAGAAAGCTGGAATGTTAACCAAGTTGCTGATATGTAGGTTCAGGTTGTTTTCTTTTTCCACAGCATGTTTGTATCGAATCGGCTACTCTAGTGGCTGGATTGGTTCGTCCTGAAAAAGGTTGAAAAATTGAAGTTCTCAGCAGGAACGTTGATATTACTGCTCTTGGGATGCCATGACAAGGCTGGGATTGCTCTTCATTGATTCACGCTCATGTTGATTGTGTTGATGATTTGTGATAAATATATTTTATTAAAGTCTCACATGCTTTTAATAGTCCATTTCCATTTGCTTATATTGCCTCGGAAATGTTAAGCGGCCTCTTTAGCACAAAGTTGCCGATATTTATACTAAATTTAACTGATTTTAGTAACATTTTGTAGAACCAATAGACAAAAGCTGTCCGATGCAACCTGCAACTAAATATAATAAATCTGTTATCCTCTTAGGTGGGCTAGTTTTAACTGTTAGTTTAAAAACTACCATTTACTTAGTTTGTAATGCTTTATCATCAGCAATATTGAACTTTGATAGAAAGGGGGCAAAACAGGACATGTCCCTGCTCCCTAGAAGATGTGAACATTTCCATAACGTGGAACCACTTCTTACATCTAAACGTGGTTTTTATCCAATCTTCTAGAAAGGGAACTGCTAAAATTCCTATAAAACAAATAAATAAAAAATAAAAGAAATAACGGAGAAAGGAAGAAGCTTTTCTACTCTCTTATCCATGTGCCGGCAATCACCAAGCTTGCGGCCCCTGCACTATTGCCCTTATCGCTGACTACTTCAGTGAACATGGCTTAATCAAAATGACTAATGCCAAAAAATGATAATAATATAAATAAATAATTATTTAGAAATTGTGAGATGCGGTCTGGTGTGATGTAGGTTTCAGAAAAACATTTTCTTTATCGTGCCAACTTTTTGATCTTTATTGAGATCATCTTCAGGGCCTGGGATTTACAAACATTGTTCACATATTAAATTCACTAGTTTCGTGGTCCGCTTGACCAATTAATATCTTACAATTAATTAATTTTTATCTCAACCTCAAAACCTTAATTAATTGTACCATATTAATTGGTCAAGCGGACCATGAAATTAGTGAATTTATTGCTTTAAAATGAAGTATACTTCACTAAAGCTCTCCGTGGCCATTTCAATTGTCGCCGAGAATTCAATCCGATTACACGACATTTGAAAAATGGCAAAAAGGAGGGAAAATTCAAAAGGTGGGGTTGAGATGGGAAGTTAGTGTCCGAGTGGATNAGAAAATGTTTTTCTGAAACCTACATCACACTAGACTGCATCTCACGATTTCTAAATAAATATCGATTAACGGTCACTAATCACCACACATAAATTAATAAAATAAATTTTTAAGAAAAATTTCACTACTTGACAACTCAACAATAATTTTTTTTTAAATTTCAGGTAAACATGTCTCCAAATTTATCATCTGCTCATTTCTTAGAAAATCAAATCTTATATGAACAAGTGCTGTACAATCTTTTCCACCTGTTGAACTTTGGAAATAATGGGTACATCTTTATTTATTGACTGATATTTTTTTTATTGACTGATATTTATTGACCTATAATTTGCAATCACAGTTAAAGGGTTATCATATCGTTTGAAACAAACTCAATTAATTGTTTTGCCCAACTGATAGCATTTTGTGATTGCATAAATCATATTGTTTAAAAAAATATCCTAACCATGCATGTTTTCATCTTTTAAAAATAATTTTGTTGTTTAAATTTACATGTCAATTACAAATTGATAATCGAGGCTGGGAATTACATTTTTAGGTTTTTAAAAAAACGGAATATCCAAGTATCAGACAAAAATATTGTTGTAAATCCAGAAGTGTGTTCAGGATGCAGTGAGTGCATGGCTCCTGAATGCGAATTGTGTCTCCAGTGCCTTAATTCGGAATCAAAAGCAATAATAAAAGACGCGTACCTCGAGCATACAAACAAGCACGACTGTAAAAGAATTTTCCCATCAAATGTGGTAAGTAGTGTTTGTATGCAAGCATGTATGTGAAGTTAATAATTTTCTTGTTTTTAAAGGACGATGAGATGCTTTATGATGGAACGTTAAGTCCTGAGAACAGATTTATGGTTAAATGGTTCAAAGCCAAGTGTTCAGAAGACAAAAGTTGGTGCTAATTATTAAATTATTTACTGTGCTTCAATTTCTGATTATGTTCTAATCGTTGATGTGTTCCATGAATAATTATAGTATTTTGTTAATTATTTTGTCTTATTACCTAATGCATAACCCCATATTTTAGATCTATCATTTCCTCCATTTTGTAAATTCTTGTGATTATTTCTCAGTGTGTTTATATTGTCTGTAGGGTGATGGACATGTAATTTGATCATTACTGATCATTTAGTGTGCTATACTCGCTCGATTTCTCCAAAGTCAGGTCAAGGCTCATACAAATCTTGACAAGAAAACACATCTGACAGACCTATTGCAAAGTCTCTTGCAAGGAGTAATGTGTCTTTACATAACAGGGGCAATGCATATTTGTCCCATAACAAAGATTGAACCCTGTCACCCCTATGAAGAAAGAAAATCAGATATAAGCAAAAGCCTAGAGTCTAGAGAGAATTAAAATAAATGAGATGGCCATAACGGTACTTGGCAAAATGTGGGAAAAACTCAACTTCGACAGACCCTTCCAAGGGGTCACAGATAAGAGATTTTTGGAAGAAAGGCAGCAAAAGTTTCAGGAAAGGTGGTACACTGATAGAAAGGGTAAATGGACTTGATCAACCTAGCAAAACACTGGACTACTAAATTCACTATTTTTCGTGGTCCACTTGACCAATTAATAACATTCAATTAATTAAGGTTTTAAGTTGAGATAAAAAAGTCTGTGTCACGAGCGGGATTTGAACCCACGACCTTCGGCCTGATACGCCGCTTCTCTACCACTTGAGCTATCGTGACTTCGAACCCCTCGGGTACTAACTCCCACTAACTAAAAAAGGAGGGAAAATTAAAAAAGGTGGGGTTTAGATGGGGAGACAACAGGCCGACCAACTAGCCAAAGAAGGAGCAGTCTTCTTACCCTTTGTACTTGAACCATAACTAGGCAAACCAGAGTGTGTGCTAAAATTAGAGCAGATAAATGACTTGATAAAGAAAAACCCAGCAAGCTAAGATTTATAAATCTATCAAAAGGAAGGCAAAGGAACTGCTCTCGCTCACAGGTGTGATTTTGGGAAAATTGTCGTCCACTATACCAGCCGCTGTCCCGTACCGTTTAAAGAAGATTGGCAAAGCTGAGACAGAAACATGCCGACTCTCTCAAGAGAAACGGGTAGGGATAAATGAGGTGGCCACAAGGATTTTCCACATCTCAACTTGAGTAGATCAGAATAGTAGAGTAGAGAATTGTGCTCCTCCATTTTTTAATAACTCACTGGCCAGCTTCAGATTGTTAGTCAACTTCCATAGCAGCCTTGCCAGTGTAGGATCTTACGGCTTTTTCTGTCCTAGTTGTAAGAATCTTCACCTCTACCATAGACTCTCACAAAAAATAGAAGAATCTTCTTCTAACTAACAGTTTGTGCACAGTGTTTCATCTGTCAGTAATTTATGCCTTCTTAGGCGGCAGAGCCCTGTCAAGAGTCCAACCAGAACCCTGGTTCTGTTGCAGTTACCTTCTATTAATTCCTTTGTAAGTTTTGCAGATAGCTTTTCTATGAATCTTCGCATGCCTGGGGTGTTGCTCCACCAAGTTTTGCTCTCAATTTTTGGATGTATTCTTTTTGCGGTAAAGTGCTAGGCCGTAGAAGGGTTCAGAGGAAACAGGTCGTTGGAGTCACTTCTGCCAGGGATTCTATACGACAGCAATAGGGTCATTTTGGGGTTTGGTCTTTTGGATTTCCCCAAGCAATTTTGGCTCTTTGGTTAATTTTAACGAGGTGTGGATTCCATATAAGCTGTTGGTCCAGTGTAACCCCTAGATATTTGGCTTCTTTAGAGAATGGAATCGGTGTCCTGCTTAAGCTTGGGATTTTTAAGCTTCCCATTGCCTTTCTCTTGTGAACCATTAAGGTTTTGTGACGGATGATAGGTAGCTCCTCCTGCTTTCACCAGCTTAAGAGAAACTGAGACATCAGCACATATATTTTGTGAATGAGAGCCATCCCAGATATAGCAACTTTGGTAAAGACAATTCTTACACAAAGAAAAGTGCGAGAAGAGTGACCGAGGGAAGTGGTTTGCTTCATGGGAAAACAGTATGATTTTAATCATAGGGGTTCCACAATGGACCTATACAGGTTGCTAGGCTGCAGTCGAGCAAAGGTTGGCGTCCTTACTAAATTTAAGAAATGGTTTAGATGAGATTACTATCAATTAATTATTACAAATTTATAAAAAGGTGATAAATAAAGAAGGCTTTGCATCAATATTTATTGTTATATTATAAATTATTAAAAATAATTAAAACGTTAAATCTTAAATGATTGTTAATTAATTTAATGCAATGAAATTATGTGAGTGTTAATAATAATAAGATTAAAATTAATAAAGTGAATAACATAAATATATAAGACATAGTTTTATTCATGAATAATAAAATGTAATTATAAGTTTAATAAATATAATATATAAATATAATATAATCAAACATAAAGTCAAAGGATATAACTTTGTTAATAATTAATTGGAACATAGTGTTAACATATATTTTGTACAATATCACCCATATATTTATATTTAAATAAGTAAGGATCAGATTTATTGTCTCTGAATGTCCCAGTTAGTGAGATCAATTATTATCACGTTTTATAATTAATTTTTATTTTTAACCCACTTATTGGATCTAGTCAAATATGTTTTATTACATATATATTATGCTGTCACTTCAAGGAATAATAATGTGAGCGTTAATACAATATATTCAATCAATTTAGCCAATATTTAAATCAAATATATTAAAAATGAATTAATTTATATAAATATCAATTATAGTTAATACTGATAAAAATAAATCTGATTGTTATAATCTATGCATAGGATTAATCAATCAAAACACATGATTTCGTTATAAAAACATTTAAGACTTTGTAGGGCACAGCCAGAACATTTGTTACATTTGCACTGAAGACCTTTGGCACAAGTGCCCAAAAAATTGGATAGTCCGCCACAACGCTGACCCGGGCCCTGTAAAAATACACGAAACAAAAATAATATGTTTAATATTTAAATAAGCTAATAAATAAATAACTTACTTTTGAGCAAACTTTTCTACCACAATAATCTGTCACAATTTCATATTGGCATTTTTCTATTTCTGGTTTGCAACTATTGTCTTCATGACAAGGAGGGCAAAATGGTTTGCTGTTAATTCTAAAACAAAAAGATATTTTTTACAAAATAATAATAATAAAATAATTGCATTTTTGATGACCTATACCCAGCACTGAACCTAGAGGGTGATAAGGGAAACCAGCAAAGGCCATCATCGTTTAAGACAGGTTCGTGGGATGGGTAGAGAGGGTTGGAACAGAAGTTAGGATTGAGAGGTTGGTGTGAAACTTTTGTAAACAGGATAAGATCAATTCATTGAAAGGAATTAATTCACTACTTTTGTGGTCCGCTTGACCAAAATTAGTACATGACAATTAATTAAGGTTTTTAGTTGAGATGAAAAAAAAACTAATGGCACGAGAGGGATTCGAACCCACGACCTTCGGCTAGATACGCCGCTGCTCTACCACCTGAGCTATCGTGACCTCGATCCACTCGGACACCAACTTCCCATCTCAACCCCACCTTTTGAATTTTCCCTCCTTTTTGCCATTTTTCAAATGTCGTGTAATCGGATTGAATTCTCGGCGACAATTGAAATGGCCACGGAGAGCTTTAGTGAAGTATACTTCATTTTAAAGCAATAAATTCACTAATTTCATGGTCCGCTTGACCAATTAATATGGTACAATTAATTAAGGTTTTGAGGTTGAGATAAAAATTAATTAATTGTAAGATATTAATTGGTCAAGCGGACCACGAAACTAGTGAATTTAATATGTGAACAATGTTTGTAAATCCCAGGCCCTGAAGATGATCTCAATAAAGATCAAAAAGTTGGCATGATAAAGAAAATGTTTTTCTGAAACCTACATCACACCAGACCGCATCTCACGATTTCTGAATAATAATCATAGTAAGAAACTTGGAGCATTCTTCTAAGGACTTTTGACTGGAGTGCTGATGGATTAGTGGTATTCCACAGCGTATGTCCCACACGGTCGGTTTGTTGTTGTTTTTTACAGTCATGTCTGATTTCAGTCTAAAAGTAGTTGTCCAAGTTGTAAGTAATGCATAACTTGTGTAGATATGGGTAGTTCCTTGTTGTTGACTTGTAAAGTGTACAAGGATGTTTATTTATAGTGAACTTGTGTGCATGTGTTCTCTTTTATTTCTCTCATTTTGCACCATTCTTTGATAAGCTCAAGTATGCTCCTGGATATCAAAGATGGCTTGAGTAGAATTCAAGTTAGGAGATATGGAAGTGGAGGTGCAATGTGTTGGTCTTCAATAAATTAAAATTGAATTGGTACTGTTAGAAAGAACAGACTGGTATTTTTGAACAATTCCTAGTCGTATAGATTGTCAAGATTTATTTTTATATTCACTAATTTCGTGGTCCGCTTGACCAATTAATATGTTACAATTAATTAAGGTTTTTAGCTGAGATAAAAAAGTCAATGGCACGAGCGGGATTCGAACCCACGATCTTCGGCTTGATAGCTCAAGTGGTAGAGCAGCGGCGTATCAAGTTGAAGTTCGTGGGTTCGAATCCCGCTCGTGCCATTGACTTTTTTATCTCAACTAAAAACATATTTTTTTCTTTCCAAAAGGTAGATTGGGGATGAGGCCAGGAAGACAGAAACAACATTTATTTTCTTGTCAAGCTTTCGGCAGAATATATCACCTTCATCAGGACTTTGAAAAAGATCGCGATGAAGGTGATATATTCTGCCGAAAGCTCGACAAGAAAATAAATGTTGTTTCTGTCTTCCTGGCCTCATCCCCAATCTACCTTTTGGAAAGAAAAAAATATATTTAAACTGAGAATGCTGATCAATCACCAAAGAAAATATTAATCAACTAAAAACCTTAATTAATTGTAATTTATTTTTATCTTGATTTATCTTGTTACGGATTTATAATAGAATAATTTATCCTTAAACACTCTGGATCAAGGTATGGTCTTGAAAAAAAAGCAAATTCAGTTATCACTACCAAGTTTTCGACCTATATTAAGGTTATCGTCAGGGCCTATATTAATTTCACAATGAAAAACATATTTGTACAGTTGGTTTATGCCAATCTGTAGACATATTTAGGATTGTTTTGTAAGTTCTACATAGTTATACTGATTGTTAAATCAATTGTACAAATATGCTTTTCATATTGTGGAATTAATATAAGCATTGAAGATGACCTTAAAATAGGTCGAAAGCTTGGCAGAAACAACTGAATTTGCTTTTTTTCAAGACCATACCTTGATCCAGTGTTCATGAGTGAAAAAGTGGTCGACATTTCTAATATTGAAAATAGAATAATTTTATAAACTTAAACATGTGAACACATACCTCATAACATAAATAAAATTTTTGCAAATAAAAAACTAAATAAATACATATGTAACTGTAACAACTAAACTAAATGTTTTAATTAAAAAGTTCGAAAAATACAGGTACATGGTAACACAAGGATAACTTTTTTGTTTTGTTTTGGTTTTTAATGTTTTATGTTTAGGTTTGTGAAATTCGTTCGTTTGCTTTAGTCAAAAGCCTGAAATGGTTGTTAATCCATTTCCACTATTTCACCTTGTTTCTAACCATTAGTTCTTTTTTATTAATAAATTTATTTTTGCTTAATTGTTATTTGGCTTATCATATCCAGACCGATTCTTCTAATTAAAACAAAGATTTATTATGAAATAACAAATTTTCCACGAATTGATAAGATGTGGAGGAGGAGGTTATCAACGGGCTGACACACGGTTCAAATTCACTTTAAACGACCGTGCAACGGCTGATGGATGAAAAAACACTAGCTAGGGAAAAAAAGCTGGGTTGTAGATGAGAACAAGGCCAAACAATTCCCACTCTGTTATGGCGATATTCTATTTTTGGTTTGGAAACTGTAGGCAGAAAAGACAAAATTTAATAATTTTGTGATGCCACCAAGAAAATATATCATCCATATTCATTGTTTACATAAAATATGCTGCCTTATTTAGTTTAATTCTATTTTGATTCCAGACTATTTTTTTTTAATTTTTCTATTTGTACAGGTTTTATGGCACTTAAACTTTTGTCTATTGTGTTCAATCTATCTCAAAGGTTTTTTTGAAAAATTTTTGTATTCTCAATTGTACCAAGAATGGCTTTCCGAGGCACCATAGCTTTTTCCTTGGTATTGCAATGCGTTTCTATGGGACAATGTTGTCAATATTGGTCATCTGTTAATGGTTTCCTTTTTAAAAAAAATGGAATTCACTCCATTTATAGTTTTTTTTTTCCTCGGAGGTCATGATAACTCAAGTAGTAGAGCAGCGGGGTATTTAGTTGAAGGTCGTGGGTTCGAATCCCGCTCGTGACATTGACTTTTTTATCTCAACCAAAACTTAATTAAAAATTAATTAATTGAAAATAATTTATTCTTTTTATTAAAATTTTCTCTTTTTCCCATTAGCTTGCTGTCTTTGCTTGCTTTATGCCTGGCATACATTCCCCGTAATTCATGTGTCTCTTTTATTGGGGAGAACTTTTTTAACAACGGTAAATCAATAAAATATAAAATATGTACATATTTTCACAATAAAAAAATAAAATAAAATACATGTTACATTATATGGCATGGTAATAAACCATCTGCCGGTCGTATGTCTTTAATAACCCAAGTTCTTTTTTCTATAGTTTATGACAAAATGTAGGCCTATGTATTGTTCCAAGGTTTCCTGTTTTAAATAGGATGTATACTGCCCCGTTGCTTGAAATTCCCTCATGGCCTGCAGACGTTAGCATTATGCTATCTGTAGATGTTTTAGGGTGTTTCGACAGTGCCAGACTAGTTTTTAATTGTTCTTAATTGAGCTTTAGAGCTTTTGGAGCTGGTTATCTAATAGTATACAGAACAGTTCCTCACTGAATATGGCACAATGCGGAAATGTTTAAGTAGTAAAACAAACAACCGCAAGTGAAGACAGATTCAATAAGTGACCCAGTGCTGGCTCAGCATGACTTCACTGACTCGCAGACAACACCCAATATCAGTATTATTATTCTTGCACCCTTTTGCTATTGACCTCATGTGCACATGTTTCTGTAGCTAACAATTTGGGGTGAGAACTAATAGGAGTTGCCACTGCTTAAACAATTGTCTTCTACTCTGTAGCCAATTATTTCAGATTCCTTACACCTGCATCGTTGCAACTCATGATAAGGAATGTAGAAGACTATTGCGACAAGTGGAACCTTAAATTGAATCTGCAGAAATCCCAAATTATGGTCTGTCGGCAGGGAGGCGGAAGACTTAAGAAAAACGAAAGATGGTTCTTCAAAAGTGAAAGAGTGGACTGCGTAAACTGATACAAATACCTTGGTATCAATTTCACTAAGTCCTTGAAGATGAAGCATCACTGCAGAGAGAAGGCCAGCAGCGCTAAGTATGCCGTTAATAGTCTGTGGTGCAAAATAATGACCAACAAGAAGATCCCACTAGAGAAAAAGATGGTGATATTCAACAGCACCCTGAGGTCTGTAGTATGCCATGGTGCGCAGGTCTGGGATTACTTATACTTGAAGGAAATAGAAAATGTACAGAAATACTTCATCAAGAAATGCTCTGCCTGCCAACTAGTACCCCAGACTACATCCTATATATTGAGTGCTCGGTCACACCACTCTACAATCACACTTTGAGCCTGCATTTGAAAAATATAAGTAAAGTACTGAATCACACACCTGACAGACTGACGCAGTTTTTGGCCGACGTAGTAATAAATAAAGGCATATTATGGCACAAGCAGCTGTCAGAGTTAGGTAGATTGTACGGTGTAGGAGTAAGTAGGGAAGAATACCTTACCTCCTCTAATACCACGGACCTGATAAAAAAAATGGGAAGAGAGCAAAAGGAAAGACCTGATAACCCGCGCGAGAAACAGCTTACATCACAACTTGTACGCAAGACTGGATTTTCACTTAGGGCGAAACTACATGGAGTGCTCTGATATGACAGCCTATGAGGTGTCTCTGGTCTTGAGGGCGAGGAGTGAATTACTTCCGCTGAACTGCCAACAAAGGTTAACATGGAATGCACACCTCAGGAGGCAC